TCATACACAAACTATGTAAACAAAACTTAGGATTAATTTTAACCTTTTTCAAATTGTCAAATTATCTTCTAAACTTTGTACTTATGATGTTGGGACAACTTTATATTAATTTGTCACCTTGAAGAAGATCTGATGATAGAGCCCGGTGGAAGCGAAACTTTTAAGTGTCTATTAGTAAAATAATGGCTCAAATAAAGATTTTCAAATGTTCAACATATTGAATTTGGTAAATATGGTCTGAACAGGAGGTGGACAATAAAATTCCCTATTAGGTGCTTTTTAATTTAGCGGGCCATTCAATCATTTTTGTAGTTTTAACAGACTGTAAGTTGTTCTTATGAACGCTAATTAAAAAGTCTAAATACAATCACCACGAGCTCACTTTATTTGTGCTTTGTGTGTCATCTATAATTTACATGTGATGTTATATGATTGATGAGAAGCATTCAAGACGAAAGCTTTCGAACGATATTTGGATTTGAGATTGTCGAGCAATATTTTCTTCAAACATGAGTTGGTAGGCACGTATGTGTATAGAGTGGTAAATTTGATTGATCACCGATTCGATTATTGCTCAAATTACTACTATAATGTCTCGTCTGTTAGATAAAGATGACTTATTTGTTAACGTGTTACTTTGGAATAACCTATTTGAGATTTCTCAAAAACAAAAAGGAGACTGCACGGATGGCGTAGCGGTTTAAGCGGTTGCCACGTTGCTTACTATTACGCTAAGTGATGTAGGTCCGATTCCCATCGGTGTTCTTTGTGTCCGTTTCATGTATGTTTGTGAAGTCTCCCGCGACACAGGATATACTTATTCCTATGCGGGATTCCAAAAAAATAAAAAGACACTTAAAAATATATACTTTTTATATTTCTTTTTCGATGTTTAAGCCCTAGGTTTCTTTTTTCGAAAAGGGACCGAACAGGGAATGTAACGGGAAGCCGAGATTGCAGATGTGATCTTAGAATTTATATCTCACCCGCCAAGTGCGAGTTTAATTCTCATCAACTCGCTACGATTGGTCCGCATTGAAATGTCCACCAATCGCAAAGATAAACACGATCGCCGTCGAGAGCGAGTCGATGTGAAATAAACTTGCACCCCTTTGATGTATGTACATCATTTGCGACTACTTTAAGCCTCGCTGGTTTGTTTTAGTATGATCAACTTTTTTTTTTTTTTTTTTTTCCGTGCGGAAATCCCCTCGGATACCACCTGTCGGTGGCATGTCGGTCTCGAACCGACTAAAACCGCACGCCGTCTCGGGTACTAATAGCCGGGGAACCAGGTATACCCTAGAAAGGAAGTCCCTGGTGCAATATGATCAACCTGGGCCACACAGCACTAGTATTCTTTTTTACCTATATAATGTACAATTGGCATCTATTTCGGCCTGAATAAGGTTGCAGAAATGTGATCCCGCTACGTCACTGGAACTCAAATTTTAATGATTACCGTATGTTTGCCCATTATATCAACAGTGGCAATCGAGCAGACTTGTAACCTGATGGTAAGTTTTGTCGACAACGGACCTTGTGTACCTGGGTTACAAGTGTCCTTTGTACTGCCGCCCTCTAGTTCCCCTAAAGCCTTCGGTTACTTCACTCACTTTTTGTGAATCCGTGGAATCACTCCTGTAGAGCTAATCCATATGACCTAAGGCATGGCTCTTCCACAGTTACGGAACATGTACAAAGAAGTTTCTTCACGTATGTATTAATACATAGATGACTTAACATGGTAGTAGCGATACCAGCAACCACCAGATGCATAAACAACTGAATGCTTCTAAAAATGCCAGTAATAATTTAATTATTACTTTTAAGTATCTTACAATACTTTTTTCCCAAACTGTTAAATGTACAGACACTTGAAAGCTAGTTTTATTATATGCATAGCTTTACAACTACCCTCTCTAATATACGGGGGATAAAAATTAAACAAATAGCTAGTAATATTTAAATTTCCAAGATAGTGTGTAATAGACATTTAAAAAAAGTCCACTGCTGGACATAGGCACGGTACAATTGTACAATTGTACCGTGACATAGGCCTCTCCTTAGGAAAGAGGTTTTGGCCTACTATACCACGCTGGCCAGACGGGTTAGTACTCGTAGTGTTTGTGTCAAGATTTCCTTCTCTTTACAATGCGGTTATGTGCTTGCTTAGATTACTCCCATAGTCGACACCCACGGGATGAATAGCGGTGGTGACACTCCGTATTCTTAATCCGTCATCACACGAACTATTATTATCACTTGTTTGATATAAAGACCATGGTAAAGGAAAATAAACAACAAATACGTATGGTAGATTTATTTCTCTTAACCATAGAAACAAGACACTAGATACAAATAAAAAGGTTGTATGCTATCACAGCACAAAAGAATAAAACTAATACGTAAGTCATTCGAAATAGTCAGATCTCATTTATATGACCTATCCCATCTGTTACTTGCACAATTTTTGTTTTTAAATATTTTTTTGTCTTTCAAACAAATCTAGCTCTTCATATAGCAACACTCACACAAAGAATTTAAAAATTCTGATTTTACAAATATCTCTTAAATGTTAAGAGAATATTTCATTACAGTTGTAATTAGAAAATGTGTGTAATATGCGTGAAAATATTATTACTATTATTTGATATTTTTTGATGTGAAACATCTAATGCGGAGGCTCAGACCGGCTGTTGGCGTGGCGACGCGTCGCTACGGCATGCATCGACACGCTCTGTGACAGTATAATGTAACAATGATGCGGTGAGGCATCAACATCGATGACCTTTTTTTTTAATTAAATATTTTTAATTGTGCTATATTTTTTATTCACTTTCAAAAGCCATCCTTTTATACTCATTATTTCTACAAAATATTTTATATCATTTTTTTATTATTTACTATCGATTTTATCCATCCAAAGGTGCCTTGTAGCAATCTTTTAATAACAAAACCGGCATTTGTACCTACATACTAACTTTCTTTAAGTAATAAACGGAAAAAGATATTTTTTTTACAGTCTTTATTACAGTAATGCAGCGTTTAATAAGACAATCTGCAAATTCTTTATCACAAAGGGTTTGGATGGCTATAGGCCCCTTTTCTTAATAAAATAAATCGGTACGCATGTTGTATGCAAGGTAATACCTGTTATATTTTTTATTTATTCATTTGGTCATAAATTGTGTGTACAGTCAGAATTTCGTCTGCTTCTGAACAAACTAATGGTGTGCTATGAGAAAAGGTCACTCCATACGCGTACTTTTTTCATCAATAAACTATAAAAACTTACTTTCTAGTAATGACGTCATGACATATTTGAGGGTCAGAATAATCTTATACTTAATTGTTACGATATTTACGTACAATATTTAATAAAAAATACAAAATTAAAGTATATATCCAGTGGCTAATCATTTGGTATAACAATATTAAATTACGGAGCTGCAAGGCAATACTGTTAATAAAATTATAGAACTGTCGTGAGATTAGAACTACATTATTGATTACGTTACTATCAGTGGCAACCCTAGTAGGGTTAAACAGCAGGTCTGCGGTGGTTTTGTAAGGTTAGGGGAAGTACCCAACCAGGCCCGGGAACGGGCCAGGTAACGCAGGCGACTCAGGCGCCGGAGGTCGCAGAACGACCTCCGTCCTCCATAAGCGCAGGCCTGAGCAGAGGGAACATGGGGTTCCCACACGGGGGGGGGTCGTCTACCTGTTGTTGTAGATGGCCCGAGGTATGTCGGGGCATCAGGGACTTCCTTTCTAGGGTATACCTGGTTCCCCGGCTTTAGTACCCGAGACGGCGTGCGGTTTTAGTCGGTTCGAGTCCGACATGCCACCGATAGTTGGTATCCGAGGGGATTTCCGCACGAAAAAAAAAAAAGGGGGGAAGTACCCAAAAGGGTAAATGCCGTAGTACTTTCCCATTCGAGTGGTAACAGGGTAGTTAATTTAAGCTTACATTTACTTTATTCAACAGTTGTTAGACAGTTCATTTAAAAAACAACACACAGAGACTAAACTGTAACCTTACTTTCCTTTTGCAGGCCAATGTCACATTTAAGTGACAAACGAATTTAATGTATTCTATTCTCACAAAAATATTCTTGTTTATTTCACGTTGATTTATCGTGTGTTTGTTATATATCTGTGACAATGGCGTTCAAAGGATAACCTAAAGCGTTTAGTGCATGTTCTATAAATTATATGCACTCAGGACTTAGATTCGTTTCGGATTCTCTAAGTTTAGACTTAAGAGAATCCGAATCGAATCTAAGTGCTGATGAAATCGATTTTCAACAATTAAGCGTCTAATGTCAGAGATCATAATTTATTCCTTTAACGCCTCTTAAGGAATAATATATGATCTCTGACATTAGATCTTTGCAAGCTGTAAATACATTTAGCCTGTAAATATAACTGTAAATATACACATAGATAAGAAGAACCAGCTTAGCGGTGTTACACGTTTGTGTGAATTTGCAATATACCATGTCTATAGTCCACCAACGTCGTGCGCGACCGTCCTGCGGGGTGACAGACGGTGGCGGGGACGAGGTACTCAAGATGTCAGCGGGTAGCGGGTGGTGTAGCGGGGAAGGGAAACACGTGTAGCCGTGTGCTAGAATGACGCGCTACCTCGCCCCCGCCACTGTCTGTCACCCCGCGGGACGGTTGCGCACGAGATTGCCGGGTTATAGTAGATACAATCCATATAACAATACGATTTAAGAGTTGAAACCCATAGATTATGACTTCGAATGAATTGCTGTTCAAAATATAAATTACAACCATACATACCGTAATTTAATATTGTAAATCAATGTTAGCTGTTACAGAACCAAGGTATATAATTCAAATGCCGTATAGTGAATAATAATAATAATTTCATTGATCACCATACCATATTTATGAATAATTACCAAATTATGTTCCAAATGTTATTCTTATATTATAACTAGTAGATACAGCAGGAGTTACAGAGGTGTTTAAATCTTTTTCCTTCTCTTTTCAGGCGTAGTTTGGAACAGGGCCTCGTCTGCGCGGATGAGCCGGTTGACTGCGCGACTCAACGACACATCTGTTACCAAAAATAAAGTGTTACCGCGAACCTTATTCGAATTCCAAAATATACAATAACGAACACAACTGATTTTAATGAAAAATCTCTTAATCACATAAATACTGTGAAATTTTGGACAGAAGACCATGTTTACTGGTTGGTTTTTTTAAGACTTAGGGGGCGAACGACCTGATAGTAAGCGACTACCGCAGCCCGTCGACACCTGCTTAGATAGCTATTTATTTTCTATGAATGTATTTAAATAGTTTTCTGGTAACTTTAAGCCGCTAATACTAGAAAGGATAATTATTTGTGATTCACTGATACTTGGTCTAACTCTGAGATTAAAATTGATGTCCGTAAATTAATATAAAATCTTTTTCTATTGAGATAATTATAAAATGATCGAGTTTCTTGTTTAGAAAAATTCAAAATAGTCCAAAATATTTCAATAAAATCGAAAAGACCGTATTTTTAAATTTTTTTAACGACTATAATACACTAAAACAAAAGTCTAGAACGGTTTACAGTACTAAGTTACACTAAATCTGTAGACCTACACCAAAATCTAACGCTGTTACTAAAGTTCGATTTAAATTATGGAGTGTAGAGGCAAGGACAACCACCTCATATGGGCGGGAAACTTGAAAAAGTGTCTAGAACTGAAAATAGAGATCGCTGGCGTATGAAAAACTACGATATAAACATAGCTGTTGTAGACGGAGTGAAGTGTGTCGAGTTAAAAAATTATTATACTCTTAGTGTCTGAAAGTTATTACAAGTTTATTTATTGTCTGTGAAACTCATTTAGTATTTTGCAGTCTAGTAAGTGTCTAATTATTATTTAGACCAATATAAATTTATCCTAGGCTACTGCAGCGCCACCCTTATTGGCGTTTTTCATTCACAGAGATGGTTCTCCTTGCCTCTACCTTCCATAGTTTAGATGTAAATAGTGAAGGGAGTACTTTAGTCGATTTTAGATTAGTAATAGATTAAGACTATCCTATTGTAATCGAATATAAAAAGAAGTTAGAAGTTTACAAAAGACTTATTGCTTTTTAATGAGTCTACTATGCTATAGAATATATTATTCTACCCTACAAACTACAAAAATACATATAATTCACACAAAGTATGGTAAGCAGATTGTGTCAATTAAATCACCCGAGCCAATTACAAGGTTAGTTCAACGAAGGTTAAAATGAAACAAAAATTAAAATTTTGGAATAAAAATCCTCTTTAATGTGATAGAATTTTAACAGTCCACTTACTTCCTTAACACATTAAACAACAATAAAAATTGCACGAAACAATTTAAATAAATAAATAAAAAGCCTTCACTCGATTTTTGGCAGTGACTACACGATAACGCTTAGAAATTTTCGTGAAACTTTTATTCAATAAAATACTTATTTAATATTGCATTTATTATGAAATTGTACTTATCAAAGGCATCAATACGTTTCCATATATTATACATATTATTATAATTTGTAAAATTAACTAGAAAATACTTTCGAATAAAATTGTCGCTATAACAGGTTTTATATATCATCAATGACTTTAAAATTGCTCGTGAGCGAAGAATTAATTGAAGGCAGAGAGCGAGGTGATCGTTTTGTGTTTCTCTTAATCATAATTGTACATATTTGTATTTTTTATGTTAGGAAGACTTTCGATATACTCGTACCGGAGTGTATAAAACAGTAATTTACTAGGCAAGGCCTTTGTCTTGCCTAGTAAATGACTTGACTAATAGACTTGACTTGGCTTGACTAATAAACTTGACTAAAATACTTGACTCAGGCCTAGGCCAGGGCGTAAAAATCGCTACAATAAAGCGTAAGTATAAACTTAACCCTACCATATCTTTTCATGAGCAATCAAAAAACCATTCTCGTATACCTGTAATTACTTAAATACTTATAAATATAATTAAATACTATATAATATATTAATTGTAGATTGTAAACAATGTAGCCTCGTAATTATCATAATCCATTTGTTTAGCTCATTCAACACTTTATGTACAAGACGAGGCTTCATTGTCATTGTAATAAACTCTGACGTCACCCGTTTTATTAAAAAATATGGATTTTATTTGACTATTAGCAGTTGGACTAATCTAAAAATAGAATAGAGTTTGTTCGAAATTTGAAGTTTTGTCAATTGGAATAGAATTGACAGTCGTTATCTTTGGACCAGCATAGACTATAACATTTTATTGCCAAATAGAATAATTCCTATTACAGACCTTATCCATTACCATAAAGAAGTGCTTGAAGTCTCAGACTTTTTCAAATTCAAATTAGGAATCGTTTGATAATTTTTGACCGGACATACAGGGGTTCATGGGAAATGCTAAACAGGAGTACAAATTAATTATGTCACTACTTGCATATCTAGAAAAAACTTGAGCATTTGAATATTGGAATAGCCGGGGAAGGTGTAGAGCCGGCTGACAGCAACGCAGAAGTTTTCTTTACCCCTTCAAAACCTTTGTCGGATCCCAATCTGACCAGGCATCTCCGATATAAACACGTGCGAAAAGCCGTTTATCTATATTTATCTACATTTCAAATTACTTGCCCTGACTGATTGACTAATTCATCAACGCAGAGGCTAAACCGCTAGGGCTTCAAACTTGAAATTTTGACAGCCTAAACTTTTTATGTTGTAAGCGCCCCCTAAGAAAGGATTTATGAAAATTTCACCTCTAATGGGGTAAAATAAGGGATCAACGGTTGTACTTATAACTACTCATTTATAAATATGAATAACAATCACGAAAGCTTTATTCTAACTTGAGCATAATATTTGAGGTAAACAATATTCTTTGGTTACCCGAGGTATTAAGTTTTAATATCTTAATTATAACTAAGTGTGATTAAAGGAATGACTTTACTGAGATATTCTAGCCAGCAAATATTCACAATTTGGCAGTAAAAAGTTTACAGTCCACATTACTATGAGGAGGCAGTATCGTTAAGGCAGCCTTGTTCTCAAAATATTTTACTTATTAAATTTTACACTATTTAAGTACGATTTGCAAAATACTTTCATAGATACAGAAATCAGTCATTTTTAACGTCGTGTAAGGGACGGGAAGGGACGTAACATGGTGTAAGGGACAGACGAGGAGCAGTGCTATTCTATAAGAAAACAGACTTGGGTCTTATTTCAAACTAACTTAGTTTGAAACTCGACCCTGTGGCAGCGCTGGGAGTTGGGATATCATTACGAGCCTGGCCCATGTATTGCAAAAAATGGTTCTAGAAATGACCAACCAAACCTACCAACTTATAATTTTCTATATAGTATATGTTTCTGATTCAAAATCGCTCCTAGAAGCCTGTATAAGGCTTCTGCGCTTCTGGATGGAACTAGGTTAGCTCACCTAGCCAACCTTTTCTCGACGCATAAAGGACCATTCTTGAGCCTAAAGGCGGAAATCGGAGCCCAAAACCAAATAGTATATGTTTCAGTATCTTGTTAGAAAATACTTATAGCAATTACTAAAGAATTTATCAGCCGTCAGTTTTTATAACACTATAGCTTGCTAACTTCACTAAAACTCTATAAAATTATTTTTGGTTTTTATTAAGCACATAATATCACTTATAAACTATTGTGTTTATAAATTAAGGACCGATATGCACAGCGCCATCTATCGAGATCATGACGAACTACAATAGTATCGCCTGATACTCAATCGCGCACGAAAATTTCTCACGCTTATTAGTACGTACAGGTGGTGTACGTACATCGAACACGTACAACACCTGTACAACAACGTTAAAGGTAAGGATTATATTCTATCACCTCAAAAAAATCTCTTTAAATAAGTTTACGTGTGTCTAATAAAATTCCCAATTTCTGTATATGGAATATTACACGTTGCGTCAGTATACAAAACCAAATTAAACATAACTTGTGCTACGGTTTTAGATCAATGAATAACATACAATTTTTTTTTATATTCGTGCATTTTTTTATGTAATGGAGGGCAAACAAGGAGACGGGTCACCTGATAATAAGTCGTCGTAAATACCGTCTCCCCCTCCCTCCCCCTGGAGGTAGAGGGTTGGTCCAAAATAAATATATATTAAACAAGCTTATAAATTCTCTAGTCATTTTTATTGTAAATAAGTATTTTGACGTTTACCGATGGCAGTTTGACATTTATAGGCAGTTTACGTAAAATGACTGATTTGTGTAGGCTATGTGATATCCCCTATTATTCCCCTATCGATATCCCCAAAATTCATCTAAATATATGAACTCCATGCATAAGTCTACTTATTTAAAAATATCCTTGAGTTATCACCCTTTGTTGTATGTGTTAGGGCCCGTCCACACAGCGATATTTTACCGAATGTTTATTTTTTTCGCAAAATTCTGTGACACATGGGATCTATATAGGACTACGCACAGGCGGAAAAAAAACCCGCAAAAAAATCTGTGATTTGATGCAATATCGCTGTTCGGGTGGGCCTTATAATAATTTAATATGAATTGAGAATTTAACAACAAAATGCTAAAATGTCGAAGACTGTCTCGGGCGTATGAAATTAAGTACAACAGAAGCGTAAATTGTTTAACATAAAAACTATTACCCTATTAAAAACACGGTTTTATATACTTGTGTATTTCGAGCCAAGCAGGGTCTGCATTTTACAAAACCAGCTTTTTACATTATAGTGTCAGATTAGGTAAAAACAGCTTTATAAATATATTTCAGACAAACTTCGACATTTCGGCTGTGTTCTTGTCGACAGTTGTGTGGTTATAGAAAATACGTATTTACTCTATGTTCAAAGTTATTAAATTTAAAAAGTTAATCACTAATTGAATTATTATTTATAATATTGTTGTTATTTTTTTCAAATATACCTTTTGTTGCCATTGATCAGGAACACAGTACATTATACAACAATAAAAATACAACATGTAGTTTAGATGACTACAAATAATAGAGTAAACGCATTATCTTATACCACAGTGTGTATTTTGTGTATTGCTGAAAGCTTTTGTGTATTGCTGCAGAGAAATTTTATTTGTCCACCAATGTCATTAGCCCTTAGATATTGTTTTATGAATAGCAATTAAACTAAGAATAATAAAAAACGATCCCCGTAAATACGCAACTTAAAGGCTTGCTTTTCAGGGGTTTTGAACGTGCAGTAAGCAGTTAGTTAACGATAATTTGGTAAATATAAAACCGATATAGAAACGGTTAAGTCTGCCATAGATCATGTATTTAAAACAATTACATGAGTCAATACGTGTATAAGTGTGTGTTAATGTGTGTGTGTGCGTGTGTGCCTGAGTGAGAGTGTGTGTGCGTCTACCAACCAGGCGTGGTGTTGGCGAGGCGTCGCATGCGGCGGGTGTTGCGGTCTTGGTCGCGGATCTTCTTCTCCATCTCGGCGTTGGTCAGCGTCTCCAGGTGCGGCGCCCACTGCTCCGCCTCCGACGGCTGGCGGTACGGCGTCTGCACACACACACGTGCTCAACTCTACTGACGGCTCATTGGGATATTGATTCAATAAAAAGAATTCGATCTTTACAAGTGTTTACCCCAGATAAAAATTAAATTTAATTTTTTTAAAGATAACAAAAAAATTGATTAATAGGTAAATTATGAACTTTGTAACATTGTTCTTTCTTTGACTCATTAAAATCACACGATGTTCTATCATAGAGTACATCCTAAATTCCTTGAGAACTGTTGATGTTCTTTTATTCATAGCATCTACACCTTGTTGTCATGTGACTGTGAACACTGTAATTGTGAGTAGTGTGAAGTTACCTCAACAACAGGTAGCGGCGCTTCACTGAAGGCGTAGGTTCGTTGATGCCAGCTGAGCTGACCGCGCACGCTGTATGCGATACCCGTCACGAACTCTCCGCCCAGACCCAGTTCTGCACAGAGCTTCATCGCGAACTGTTCTGGATTGTTCTCTTTCTCAGACATGTCCCATTCAACCTGAAAAAGAAGAAACAGTATTAATTAGATAATGCTTCAAAGTTTATGATTTTAATATTTTACCTAATTTTTGTACTTAGCACCGGGTAAGTCTTTACAGCACAGTTCAACAGTCTGCAGCAGAGTTGTATGTAGTAAGAAGTTTGATTGATTAATGCTTAAAAACCCAGCTGTAGTCTTCAACAAGTTATGAATATATTATATAATATTATAAAATAATGTTAATTTGATATGGGAGATCTCATTCTGATTTTACAAAATTCATTTTCAACAACACATTTTCACTCATTATTGATTTATATTTTATATGTAATGACATAGTTGTTAAAGGACTTAGGACAACTTAGTCGATAATGGTTCCTGATAGAATTAGGATTAACTTCAGTGATCAGATGAGTACCAGTATGTTTATTTATTAATTTTTATTTATTCTTTCTTGTACACACTGAACACATACATATATATATATAAGTAACATAGGAATTGTCATGTACAAAGGCGAGCTTAACCCAAAACTAAGTTTTTTTTTCAGCAAACCTTGAGCGACAACAGAGAAACGTAAGGGCACAGTCATGCGTACGTAGGAATCAACACAGAAAAGCATCAAATTAAACAAATTCCGACATAAATTAGGATAGCAAAATATATTATATGTTTAAATACATATACATTTATATATATATACACACATACATACATACCAAGGGTCTGATTATTGAAGAGATAGATAATAATCATTGGTTTTCTTCCTGAACACGCTAAGAGAAGGGCTATGTTGATTGGGATAAAAAAACTACTGAATAGAGAACCTTGAAAAAGTGATGGTTTTCTTACCGACCTGATCAACAAGTGACGTGTTCCCAACATGTATATTCAATTTGATAACCACTCTTTGGTCAGGTTGCTCCTCTAATATCGCTGGTGGTTCACTGGGAAAAGCCTCAATTTGTTGTCGAATAGATGATGCGATGGCCGGAATAAATGTGCTCGTGTTGAGCTCCAAATCGTCGCACATGACCTCAGCAAATTGTTCTGGTGTTATAATCGATTCTGGAACATAGAAATTAATGACTGCACGGATGGCGTAGTGGTTTAAGCGGTCGCCACGCCGCTTTCTAGTGCGCCGAGTGTTGTGGGTTCAAACCCCACATGGGACGACACTTTGTGTGATCCGAGTCTGGGTGTACTTTGTGTCCGTTTCATATACGTTTGTAAAGTCCCCGCGACACTGGATTTATTCCTAGTGCGGGAGCTGTCTAATAAAAAAAAAAAGATTGAAGATTTTATTTAATAATTATCTTCATGCAGTTATGTACATCGGCGGACTGATTTTGTAGAGGAATAGATGTAAGAACATGTATCAACTCTCCAATAATCGTATCACAATTAGCTATTTCTGTTTCTATTTTTGAAAATGAAACAAAGAAAAATGGCATTAACACAACAATTTTAACAATATTGCAGCTTGAGTTAAAATAAATTTTAATAAATTTGAAAAAAAAGGGTGGGGTGCTTTTTACTATTGATAACAGGCACACAACAACAACGCTTTTTATTTTTTTTAAACAATTTTTATTTATAGCTTATTTTTATTTTTTATTTTAAATTAGTGTATTGTCATCGGTCCTCGATATAACTACAAAGTATGAACGAATTCTGACCGTTTAAAGTCAGCCAAAATCACGCCCAAAGGAGTCGGTTACAAACAAACATACAGGTGAAGCTAATAAAAAGCGTGTAATGACGAACTTCATTACAACCGTTCATCCCTTAATTTACTGCCTTGGTACTGAAAGCCAAATAACCTCTGTTAGTGCTTTCAACATAAAAAGCAGCAGCTGCCAAAATTTCAAGTTTGAAGCCCCAGCAGTTTAGGCTCTGTGTTGATGAATCAATTAGGACAAGTAATGTTAGATGAATATATTAAGCATTCTAAGAATGTTAAAGATTATTTTTAACCGACTTCATAAAAAGGATGAGCTTCCTGACTAAGTTCCTTTTTTTTTATTTTTGTTAGCTCAGATCTAGGTCATTTATACATCAATTTGGAAAAATCATTTTTATTTCGGAGGTCACACTTCACGTTTTGTGCCATTCAAATTTGAATAAGAAATATCACCCCTTAAAGGTTGAAAATTCATTAATGTTAATTACAATTCATCAGCATTAAACTTGGTAAACTTTTAAAAGTTAATTATTGATGATTAAAATAGCTGAATACTTGCCATTCTTGTTCCAAGTAAAGGTGTCCCTAAGCTTCTGTCCTTCAATCTCCATATCAAGTCTGATAGGTACCAGAATCTGTTTTTGTGATGCATTCTCTAGCATAGCTGTCATATCTGTGTCATCAAAGCATAAGGGGAATGTACGTATCTGGAATACAAAAAATATCCATCATTTGCTGTGGCTCATAACATCTTTTCAAAGTTAGTACAAGGTGTCTCAAAAGAAAGTTTATATTTATTTAGCTTACTGCGTGAACGCAACGCGTCCGAGGGGCGCGGGGGTTATGTCAATCGGTAGCCTGGCTCTTGGGAATTCAGTCGCTATGGAGCGTTTCTCGGGAGCAGACCGTGCGTTGTGCGTGCGAGAGTTTTACAAAAACGGTGATTCGGCGACTGTAGCGCGTAGAAGGTTCTGTAGTGTTCGAGGTTTTTGCCATTTAAATGATGCGCCAAGCATTCCTCTTATTCGAAAATGGGTCAAAAAGTTTGAAGAGACCGGTACAAAGCTGGAAAAACCAAAATCCGGGCGACCAAGGTCATCAAGAACGGTAGAAAACGTGGAGAGTGTTAATCAGTCTGTTCGTGACGACTAGAACCTTTCAATTCGGAAGCGCGCAAGTGCTTTAAATGTGCATAGATCATCATTACACCGCATTTTGCACAAAGACCTAAAGCTGCACCCCTACAAAATTCAATTGGTGCAAGAATTAAAGCCCCAAGATGACAGTCAGAGGCTTGACTTCGTAAATCAGGCGATTGAGCGCTTTTCAACGTTTACCAACATCTTGTTTTCGGATGAAGCTCATTTTCATGTTTCACGCTACTGGAGTGCAATGAATCCAAACGAAAACATCAGAAACCCCTTCATTCGCCTAAAGTGACCGTATGGGCTGCGATGTCGGCGCGAGGAATTATCGGCCCTTACTTTTTTGAAGACGAAAGGGGGCGTGCAGTTACAGTGAATTCAGAGCGTTATGTGGAGATGTTAGACGACTTCTTGGCGCCTGAACTAGAAAACTTTCCTGGATATAACCAAAGAACATGGTTCCAGCAGGACGGAGCAACGTCACACACGTCCAATACGTCTCTGCCACGAGAAAATTGATCTCCAGGAGAGGTGACATAAATTGGCCTCCACGCAGTCCTGATTTAAATCCTATGGACTTTTTCCTATGGGGTTATCTTAAATCTAAAGTTTACGCGAATAAACCGACTTCCGTGGCGCATTTGAAAGAAAATATCCGTCACGAAATGGCAGCCATCACTGAGTTCACCTGCCGAGCCGTCACAAGTAATTTTACTGTTCGATTAAATGAGTGCCGCCAACGCGAAGGTCTACATTTGGACGATATTATTTTTAAGAAATAAATTCCCAAATTGTGTACTTTAATAATTAATAAACATTTTTTCGATACACTGCTTACTTTTTTTTTAATCGATCTACTAAATATAAACTTTCTTTTGAGACACCTTGTATATATTAATTAATAATATATACTAATTTTGAAAAGCCGTAATGTGTATACTTCTCCAAGATATAATATATCACAGATTGTAATATGTATTTAAATTTAACCAAAGTAAAACCAGGGAGTACCAGAGGACCGTGCAGTAGAAAGTCAGGGAGCAGAAGTCACAGATAATAATTTTTTGTGTTATGCTTTTAAAACTGATGCCAAGCCATGACCGGGATAGTTTGCGCTGTGTAGTTTGGCTATGGTGTTTGTGTTTGGAAGCATATGTGTGTTTATCGGCGGTCTGGCTGCAGCGATGGGGGTGGTGCCTTGTTTGGGACCGGATGGTTGTGCGTGGGATGTGTGAGACTGTTATTATTGTTAATGTAATAGGCTACACTATTGTATTACATATGTAACCTGTAAAAAGTTGTATTGTGTCATAAATAAATAAATAATTAAATAAATAAAGGTCTTTTACTTACCACCAGGCAAGCAATGTTCTGGTTTTAAACCAACATAATATTGGAAATAAATGCATTGTGGTTTAGAGGTACTTCCCCCAAACAAAGATTATTGTGCCATAATTCCTACTTTTTATGATTAGAGCATAAATTAAAAATCTTTATAGTACCTTCTTATTATGCACCCTAGACCTACTGATCTGTGTGGCCTGTGGTACAGCATCCAAATGTGAAGAGTTTGGCATAACCGGGAGCCATGACTGGTTATGTGGTTTCTTGCTCTTACTTTCTCTCGGTGTAGCTAGCTCTTGGCTGACAGAGACCGCTTTGTACCTGTAATATGAGGTTACTTTGTAAGCTTTTTACTAATATATTGGTCAATAAAGGTCCTCCCTTTGCAAGCTTGTGGCCAGAATCCTCTTTCTCAAGCAGCTATTTAATAGTATAGTTTGACTGCTTTGGTGTGGTATGTGATTGCAGTCCTGAGGTATTGAAATTGATTCCTGAGTGGACCAAATGTTTGCATAATAATAATAATATTAATTCCAAAGTTATACAGTTTTTTACATACTACTAAAAAATAAAAAAAATTGATACATGCATTCTTCCTTGAATGTTATAATCTGCAAATCTAGCTAGCAGACAAATTATTTTACCCAGATACAAGACACATGATCATGCTCACCAGACATTTATTTGTCCTGGGTGGGAGTCAAACAGTCAAGATCACTAGATAAATAGGCCTGTCAATGGTAGTTAAAACTACATTCTGACTATTCTTTTAACTTCTTTTTACTTTTCAATTAGCCGATATGATATGAATAATCGAACTGTATAATTCCAGAGATTTAACTTAGAACTATATACTATTATTTGCCATGTGTTGCGCATTGTGTGCCATTCTGAAGCAACTATTAAATTGTTGCGTTTAATACTATTTATTTTTTCAAATTCATGAATGTTCTAATCATGCTTTTTAAAATGAACTCTGCTTTAGGCGTGTTGAATGATTTTTGTGCCTGTGCCATTTGCATGTTTAACTTTTTGAAAGACAAAATCTTGTTATTTCACACCACAGACATGCTGTAATAGCAGTAAGTGAAGTTATGTTGACCACTTAAAAAGTTTATTTTGTGTATACTGTGCATTGTTTATTATTCTGGTTCCAGTTATTCCACTGTTTTGAGTTTTCACTCCTGTCTCCTGCAGCCCTCACGACTGCCTCTGTTTTGTTTTAAATATGTCTTATACTCAAAGCTTAAGCTAAATACTTACTTATCATCATTCCCTTCAATAATATCCTCAACTTCAGATGCCTTTAGTAGAGAGACTGAGCTAGACAGTACATGAGCACCTAGACCGTTGTCTATCAGACGTTTCCTTTCCTCATTGGTCAGGGTCCTCCGGGCCATACCCGGATACTTTTTGTAGAGAGACCCACGGAATAACCGCAGGTAATTGCCGACCTACGAAAGAGTTTATGGTATTAAATAGGTTGAAATGTCTATGTGTTATTGTTCAGAGTTATTCAAAACCATGTCCTCTATCCAATTGTAACTTCACTGCAAAGGTATTGCCCATAAATAAACCTAATACTTTTGTGGAAGAGACAAAAGACATTAATATTACATTTTTATACAAAATGAATGCCACGAACCTCTGAGCCGACACAATAAAATTCTCCTCCTTCTTCTATTTGGAAACTTATCGGCTTATCGCCGTATGTTCTGAGAGCCATCCTTGATTTATTTTCTCGCTATTCTATTCAGGAAACAACAAATATCATTTGATTTATTCTTCCAAACCCCTAACCAAACACCGTATTATTTGGCGTTATCAAAAAATTGAATGAGAAAGAATGAGAATATTGTTAATTGAATGATCAATGCACAGACTATAACTTACGTCATTCAAGACTGTCAAAATAAAGGCAACCAAATGGCTTACAGCATTCATATAACAACTGTAGATGTATTCATGCCCTAAATTTTAATAAAAACCTAAAAAGCTGAACTGCGACTGTAAACGTAACTTTATTCAAATTATTTCTTTTTTTTTGTGAAAATTTAAGAAATAAAAGTTACGGATCTCATCATTTATTTGTAACTAACCATGAAAGTTACATTACACCAAAAAAAAAAATATTTTTTTTAGTTATTGGGTTTGTGTAGTGAGGTCCTATCTATTTATGCCATTTGTGAATGGCTAGGAATACAGTAAAACAACCAAATTAAAATTTTAAAGAAATAGCTTGACCGTTTATAAATAGGTAAATTATAATAATTGACGGACCTTGTCCGTCAGTCATTCAAGGACTTTATTTCAATAATTAGCCTATTTAACAGTAAATCGATTGTAATTTTAAAAATACTAGATTTACTGTTAAATAACGTCTAAGCCACCTACCTAGCAACCCTAACCTACCGCGACGATAATGACGTCGTACGATCGAATGATAAATCACAGTTCACTGTGATTTTGTTCCATGTCTAATTCTAATGAATAAATCATTCATTCACAATCAGTCTCGAGTTTTTTGTTGGGGGGGAAGGTTGGCGTAGCCTCAAGCGCAAAGTATTTCTAAGATCAATACAAACATGAATAGATCAGGAAACTTCAAAAATCCTTTTGGTAGACCATGGATGACAGAAACAGGAGCTGCAGCTGCGGCTGGAGGCCCCGGATCGCTCGGCTTAAAAGGTGTTGTGGCCGGTGGGATAACTGGTGGCATTGAAATTTGTATTACATTCCCTACTGAATATGTAAAAACACAGCTGCAATTAGATGAAAAAGGTTTGTGTAATCACTTTTGTTTATATAGTATAGATTTTTATTCACAATTTACCGTATCAGTGAAAAATATGTTACTAAAAAGAAGCGCACTATTTTATACTATTATTTTAAGGTAAGTCTTTTACAGTTTTCCTCATCAAAGATAGGTGATAAAAACAATTTCCGTTCCACATACAGCAAATACACATATTAGAATCTTATTGGACTTTCAAGTAATATTTATTTAAGGTTAGGTAACCTTGGACTAGCTTTTTTTTACATATAGGTAGAACGTAAAAGTATTTGTTTGTAGAATAATATTGGACTTTGGTCATCAATGTTATGTCAGTATTATCAAATAACAAATAACCGTATAATGATTAAATCCCATTTTCAAGGTGTCTTATTTTTAACTGCGATGCTATAGTATAGGTAGTTTCGTAATTTTTTGTGTTTAAAAGTTATCATTATCAAAGTATCTAAACAATTTCTAAAATCTTACAAATAAATTCTTATATTTGCTTATCACGCTTGCCATACATAAGTAGATACTTCAATTATGTGTAAATAGTTTTGTGAGTAGGTGTTGCAAATTGCTTTGTAATTAAATTAGCACTTTCGTTCAGCATATCGTAACCGGGCGAGAGACGTTTCGTTGTCATTTATTTGGAAATTTTAAAGATTATGATTTGATGATGCATACGAAAAATTCTTCTTATCAGGCAGTCAGCATTAAAAAACAAATTCTAAAGAATCCCCAAATTAGGACCACTAGAAGTGCCTTCAGTACAGGGCATTTGAATTGTTACATAGTGTCTGCCTATATTTTTAAACAATTTTAGGCACAATAAAAATTTAATTTAAATATTCACAAGATCTTAACTTTATTAGAATCTGACTTCCTGTTGTTCTGTATGAACTTTCCCTTAATTTCATTTATAATAACTTGTTTAATTGAATGGATACACATTTGTATCTTAATGAGACACAAAAGTACACACACCTGAACACAGTAACACATACCTGAAAATTCAAGTAAATAAAAAAAATATTAATTCTATGTAAAAATGTGTTGTTTAAAAAATATATTTTAAATGGTTAGTTTTACAAGTCCGTACATTGATTTTTATCAACCATTAACCTTTCTATGAGTGGTAACTCTAATCCAAATATTTGATTAACTTCAACACTGATGAATCTAATCATTGAAAATTTGGAGTGTGATGTCAAACCTTATATCGTCTGGATGTCACATAAATGATAGTGTACTTAAGCATAGCATAGTAGGTAGCATTTGAGTATTTATACCTGAGTTGCCACTATGTGCTGCGCGCGTCTCTCTTGTCTAAAAAGGGGTTAAGGCCATTAGCTATTTATTAGTTCATTAGAGTCACCTGACACATGACCAGCACCGCCTCGCCTCGGTGTTTAGTATTCTTTGTATTGAGTACTATGTGTATATGCTCACTACATCACCTCTGGGGCGCCTCGCACGCGGGTTGACCACTCGCGGTCGGTAACGGTGTTGACGCGTGTAGATGATGAATTGGTGGCACACCGCTTCCTCTCGAACGTGTCTGTCGGGGACCACCCGTTGACGATGAGTGGACACCGAATGGCGCGTGATGCTGGTCAGGTGTTGGGTGGGTGTGATGAGCTATGACCTTTAGGATCCACGTACTCCACGCTGTGGTCCCCTGTTTATCAGGTTCTCGATGGTGTATTTATTAGCGTATCCCGAGAATCTAAACGGGCGTACCGGTTAGCAGGCGCAGCTGGTACGCCCGTTTAGAAATCCGGTACTACAGCAGACGTCGCGGGCAGGAGGGGGACGCCGCTTTTCTTCATACCGCGTCCCAATGTTGCTCATCTAAGTAGCTGAGTTGATACTTACATAGTATTACGTTGTTGTCATCATTTATCAATGTTGTTAGTGTGTGCATAAGGAATGAAGCTCTTTTGATAGTAACGATTTATTTATAACAAGGAAAACATACAACAGTTTGGTTTACCAAAGAGTTTATCCTCAAACCGTGTTTTTGTAATATTTTTCCCTTTATTGAATGGACAAGTAACCGTTTGTCAAGTTATAGCTAATTGCATAATTACGGCTCTGTAATATAAAAATGTTATTTGACTAATCTGTCCAAAGGAATAATTTTCTTGTCAAACTCATTAATCACAACTAATTTGTGTAAAAAATTCCCCTGTTTCTGTTTATTTTTGTCTTACAAAAATAAGTTTCTGGTTATCAACTCGTTTGTACAATCGTTTTTCAAAACAATTGAATCGATAGAAATAAATTTCTTTTTGGTAAATTTTATACAGAACCTTTTCCTATAAGCCATTATGATATTCGTTACAGAGATGATATAAATAAATTATCAAAAATAATGTAAAACAATTTAATTTAACCGTAATGGGTTCTGCATTCGAATATTTTTGAACTGCCTGTCATTTCGAGGCGAATAGATGAAACAATTTACTCTGGCCATTATTGAAATAAAATATTTATTGTAATACTAATAACAGAGGATGGATGGTTTACCGGTGAAGGATTCATGCTAAAGATTCTTGTCTAAACAAAAAATTCTCCTTTTTAACCAGACGAGAATGGGTATCTACTGCGCTAGAGAAAAACTAAAAATACATAGTCGATAGTCTGTTGGTGCACGTCTCAAGGTCCCTGAATTCATATTTCCAATACCTCTAATTAGTTAAATAATAGTTAATATACGTAATTCTTCCCGTAACCTTTACAATATAAAATAATACGGTTGGAATTTAGTATTCCTTAAAATAAGTGTTGCTTAGAAAACCTTATGTATTTGTTAATTTCCTTAGCTAATCGAAAAATTGTAGTCACATAAAAATATCGTCTTAAATGCAAATGTTACGACCTTGAAACGTGCTGAATCCATGCGCTTCCTACGCTAGTCGAACTTCTATTATTGTCGTCTTACATCTATGAATGAACGTACTGAAATAAAACACTCACTACCCAATAATGTTTTATATGTTACTATTACATGACATGTGCTAATTAAATAAACAGATACAATACGCAGTCGCTTCAGAACATCATGTTATGCAACAACTGTGCGCGTGCATATCCAAACTTTACTATTACTTTTAAAACCTAAACCAACGCAATGTCCGTGTACAGCATTTATATTATCATAATGCATATAAAAGTATCTTAGTATGCGCAGTAGAAAAAGAGTTTCAATAAACGCAGGAATATAATTTGCATATTATGTAAATAACATTTTATTTTGTTTTGTCTGACTAACTAGTTTTATAGTCGGGCGACATCTTCGAATCTCGAATCTAGAAGTAAATCTGAATAATAGCCTTAATTTAACAATCTTACCTAATACAAATTGGTAAATCCTAAATACTAGATTTTTAGTATTTAACACCTGTTTCGCGAAAATTGTCTTACCCATCAAGGTCTCTCCTAAACCTTGTCACAAAGTGCGATCTTGTGTCTTTCTTCTTCATGCTTCAATGCTTGCTATTCTTTTTATGTCATCTTCCCACCTAAGATGCGATCTCCATTTCTTTCTATTGTATTGCTCTGGATGGACGGCAAAGAAAAGCTAAACTCTCTTACTTATTTATGAAATTGTCTCAGCAGCAGCTCTATAATTATTAATTTCGGAATAGTTACAGTGTATGTTTTAAATTGAACAATCTAACCGCTAGTTATTGTAGACGAAGGTTGCACTGTTTTAAACAGTTGAACAACTTGACCTAATAATATTCACTGTTAACGATACATAACATGTTGCACGTGCTTCGTTGTTTTATATGTATAAACTCGTATTTACATATAAATAGGTGTATTATGCTTCAATATGTTGCATAGAGTGCAGACGATTGTTAAAATATACCTACATTTCTGTATTAAAACATATTGTTTCCTATTCATTAGGTAGTAGTACCTAAATATAAATTTGTTTTCGGAAAGTCATAGATAATATTATCTAAACGTAAAAATACCATCATAGATGAATTTGCTTTTGCTGAGCGAGTTGTTTGAATGAAAATACTTCTAATTAAGAATATTCGACATTTCGGGATACCGGAAGGGACCATCCGCGTGGATGACAGGGCTGATTAAACTGGATCTATCCTATTATCCCCGTAATGCATTTAGTTTCTGTAATCAGAATTAAGCGGTCGCCAAGCCGCTTCCTACTACGCTGTGTAGTGAGTTTTGGGTGTGTGGTGAGTGTTGTGGGTTCGATCCCCACATGGGACGACACTTAGTGTGATCCACTAATTGCTGTTCTGTGTCTGGGTGTTTTTTGTGTGCGTTTCATGTATGTTTGTAAAGTCCCCCGCGACACAGGATATATTCTTGTTGCGGAGTTGTCTTTTAAAAAAAAAAGATTAACCTGCTGTGCCGTTGCTCGGTAGTTAAGCCTTCTGGACATCAATGTCCAGAAGCAACAGCCTTTAATAGTCCACAGCTGGACATAGGCCTCTCCTTAGAAAGAACATATGCTAATAGGGCTTGTGTCAAGTTTTCCTTCTCTTTGCAGTCCTGTTGTCCTGAGTAGTTTGCACCCTTGGTCGACTCCTACGATACCCACATTTCCTTCTGGACGCGCTCGACATTTTCCGGGTATCCTCTTTAATGATGATCTGCCTTGAGACGCAACATGATCTCCTTTCGCCCTGCCCTTGAGTGAAATCATGCACGAAGCTCAAACCGACCGACCGCACGGAAAGTTTACTGTGCCCTCTGGCCCATCCAGGGGACATTACATTAGGTCAAGTTAAGACAAACGCAATACAAATATTATATCATTACATATAAGTATTTTTAAGCAGGCGGTGAATTATGCTTTTCATTTGACAATCGACCACGGTACTTGTGGCAAAGTACTCTTCGATAAGTGCCGTCCTAATGAGACAAATCGCCAGTACCCATCACTGATATTAAAGCCCAATGTTGCCCCACACACCATGCGATAAATGTAATAATGTTGTACTACATTTCATGTTTGTTATTATGACGCAACCCATATAGAAATTGTCCAATGTTTAGCGATTAAAACGTTATCATACAGGTACTTATTGATGAACCGAGTCGGAAATTTTATTTACTTAATTTTTCGGTTAGTTGTTAGCTCTCCAGTGTCAAGGCTCTGATCATGATTATTACGCAAATCACCCACCAGACAAATTGAACTTTGAACTTATCTCTTTCATAATCTATCAATTAATTCATGTATATGGTTCGACTGCACGGATGGCGTAGTGGTTTAAGCGGTCACTTGGCCGCTTGCTACTGCGCTGAGTGTTGTGGGTTTGATCCTCACATTGGACAACACTTTGTGTGATCCACAAAATGTTGCTCTGAGTCTAGGTGTTCTTTGTGTCCGTTTCATGTATGTTTGTAAAGTCCCCCGCGACACAGAATATAGTCCTAGTGCGGGAGTTGTCTTCGCATCTTACTTTAAAAAAAAACCTAATTTTATATTAAAGTTTAAGGCAATAAACTAAAAAAAAATCAGCATAATATACCCTCAAACAATATAACTAGTTTCACCTTGCCGATTTAAGCTATCATCCATATTGAAATTGCAAAGCAATTTTTGGAGAATGGACGAAAAATGGAGTATTACTTAAATTACTTATTATTAGCTAGGATTTGGGACCACACGTTAAAACATTTTTTACATATAAATTAACTTCCAAAAATTATTAGTAGTTATGGTACACCGGTTATTTCGTATTTAACTTCAGTAATGTATTACATTATCTATTATTATTATTTTTGTCAATCATTGATATAATTAAGGACCTCCCTCCTTGTCTTGTCTCTGTCCATTGACTTTTCCGTCCAGTTGTCGTCCGCTATCTTTAGAATATTGGCCTAATCTACTACGACGCTTGCCCAATGGACCGTTCCATGTGGTAACCCTTTTTGTCAATTTTTCACCACCCATACACGCAACATGGGCGATCCATTTCCACTTTCGTTTTTTGCAGTGATGTAAAGCGTGTCTAACTTTTGTTGTATTTCTCATCTCTATTTGTTCTTTTATGTTTTACTTTCAGCTCCGTTCTATGGCACTTCGCGTTGTTAATTTCTTGTTTCTTGTAAATTTGTTGAAAATCCATCTTAGCGATGCATAAGAAAGAGATGGTAGAAGAGAAGAGTCTAGGACTTTTTTTTGGCCAATATACTTTGGACAATTTTTTTAGGCAGTAGTTTGACTTAACCCATTTTCTTTTCTTACAGGAGGTACCAAAAAGTACTCGGGTATTGTCGACTGTGTCAAGAAGACTGTAAAAGGTCATGGCGTTCTCGGCCTCTACAGAGGACTCAGTGTGCTGCTCTATGGCTCCATACCCAAATCTGCTGTCAGGTAAGTTTTTTAGATTATAAATGTCAGTGAATCCCATCTATTAAACTAATATTATAGTTTATATTAGTTTTTTTTTGTGTGTTTGTTACTTTTTCACGCTCAAACGGTTGCACCGATTTTTATATGGAGGTAGCTGACACCTTGGATTAAAACATAACCTACTTTTAATCTCGAAAAAAATGTAGTGATACCGTAAGATAATGCGGATAACACCGCGCAGCTAATGTAAAATAAATGAAAATATTTATACTAGAATAATACGGTACAATGATATGGTCAAACACATAGATATGCATACGAAGAAATAGATTTTATTAATGTTACGTGGATGTCCGGGGCCCTACATGGAGGGAACAGTTTAGATCAACTAGCTTGAAATTGCCCATGAGTGATAATAACATTACAAGAGTGATGTCAGCTGATCCCCTTGTAAATGTGAAGAAGATAACCTTACATCATCTTCATTAACCTGCTTCCTGTTATAATTACGTGGAAGAATTAATTTCCATTGTGGTGGGAGAACCATTATGAGCCAATTGTAATATGCACTTTGCAAGTTGAGTTGACTGCGTCGGTGCTGTAGTGGAGGCGTGTGCGACTGCTGTGCTGACATCTCGGGTTCGATTCCCGGGTCGGACCAAATGTTTGTACGATCTGCAAATATTTGTTTAGGTGTTTTTTATGTATGGTATGCATAAATAAAGTAAATATAAGTATCCTATCAGTCAATCTGGCTTCCATAGGACAAGTTCTGCTTTTACCTTTGAAACTAGATAGCGTTGTGCGTAATTAATAGTACCTTAGTTGTAAGGAATAATATGGCACCTTTAATATTGGTTCTATCTCGTAAACTTAAATCAGTCCAAATTTGCTTGTAAATAAACTATTATAAAATATTTTATGGTCATAAACACATTATAGAAAATTCCATACTGAAACATGTGAGGTCACGGCAATGTTAATAAAAGAAATTGCTAGAAAACTGCTGGAAATAACTTAACAGTTTCTTTGACGATTACATATTGAAACTATGGTGAAAAAGCAAAGTTCAGAGTTTTCATTTATTTATTTAATTCATACATGGAAAACTTACAGCTAGAAATGTTTTACTATATATTTTAAAGGTTTATAAAGACTGCCAATACTTATTAAACCCATGACCCGCATATACGTAAGTCCTATATAGATCAGAATAAGGAATGAGGTCTTACATTATTAGCAATAAAGTTACATCCGATATTGTTTTGGCAGTTTTACACTAGTTTGAAAACAAAAGCACTGTGATTACAACCGTCACGATCATTTTTATATGACAGGCGATAAGATGTCTTATTTTTAAAGCCGAAAGATACTGTCGCTATCTAGACAAGGGTTCATAGAGCGCTTTGGACAGGACACCGATGTTATCTTGTAGGTGTTGCAAATTAGTTCCCTTTTGCAGCCATTTTTGGATGTCTGGAATAATTCGAAAAAATATAACTTGTCACCAGGATCAAAATATAAACTAAGTCGCTTTCAGCGTAGAACATATAACCTTTAAACTATTTTTCCATTTATATGATGGAAAACACTCGGTCTGCCTACTCCTGTAAGACAAGTCGTTACAATAATTTGCTTCAGCAGTATTTTTTTTAACACAATACAATTAAATAAAGTCTTACATCGTGATTATAAAATTGAATGTAATCGAGAAAGCTAGTAGTAGTACTACGTATGAACATATAGACGAACAGAACATACGAAAATAAACTGCACTTTTTGTAATTATAGTCTTCTGTATTCATAAACAACAGCCTTAAACAGTCCACTTCTGGACATAGGCCTCTCCTTAGAAAGGCTGTTGATGTATTGATCATCTTGTTGCTTTTAATTCAGCATATAACCTTAAACCTCTTTTTCCATTAAAATAATTTGCTGGATCTTTTATTACACAAAATTAAGCCCCTACAGTTAAATATTTGAAAAATGATATGTTTACCAAACTATATAAATACTTATAACATAATATTATCCAATCTTCAACTGTTCAAAGTCCGTAAGCAACTAAAAATATTAGCATTAATATTTAACGCCAATACTGAAGTTCGAACACTCATATTTTTCCAGTCAAACAGCTTAGCACCTAAACCACACAATACATCTTATCTTGCCCAGTAATCCATATCAAAGTATCAGTATATCTAAGTATATCGACCAATAATTAACATTATACTCAACCGATAGAGTTATTACACTTATTACTAATTAAGGAATAAGGCTATTAGCAAACGATATTGATTAATTACATGACACATCCCTAGATACTACGGACATAAATACGTACACTTAAGAACTAGGAGCGTCACCACCCCTATTCATCCCGTGGGTGTCGTAAGATCCGACTAAGAGAGCAAGCTACGCAGGACAACAGCACTTCAAAGAGAAGCAAAATTTGATACATAGGTACTCTATACCAACCCGTCTGGCCAGTGTGGTATAATAGGCCAAAACCTCCTTAGAGAGGTATATGTCCAGCAGTGGACTAATAAAGGCTGTTGACGACCCGGAAGGGCTAGACAGAGGCTAATCAAACGCCCATATTTTAAACAAAGTGACAGTTTTAAGATGGCGACATTAAATAATTTATAAGGGAAATTTAAATAATCAAATAAGCTTATCATGTTGTTCTTTCTTTTCCTGGGGTCATACTGACTAAAGCGATAGTTTAAAAAAAAACGTAGATATTGACTAGAATTAGTTACCTATGAATTACATTTTAAGACGCTCAAATTTAAAGTTCTTTTAATATTCAGTTAAATCGTTATCTCTTCGTTAACGTTCTGCCGTTCTTATCACGGCTATCAGGCAAACATATTCACTGACACTAATTTATAATCTGTAATGCAAGTGATCTGTTTTTGTGGCATTGAGTTTTTTTTTTAATAGTAAGAATAATCTTCTAGGGCTTTAAGTGACCGTCGAGTTGATATTATCGTGGGAGAGCCATGAACCTGTGTTAAGCGGTTCTTTCGTTTCTTTTACCCGAGTAGTGAAGTTGACTCGAGTCTGACTGCACGGATGGCCTACTAGTTTAAGCGGTCGCCACGCCGCTTTCTACTACGCTGAGTGGTGTGGGTTCGATCCCCACATGGGACGATAGTTAATTATCGTTCTGAGTCTGGGTGTTCTTAGTATCCGTTTCATGTATGTTTGTAAAGTCGCCCGCGACACAGGATATATGTATTCCTAGTACGAGAGAATACTAAAGCCCAAAAACTCTCCCTCTTCCTGATTCTGGGAGGAGGGACTGAAAGGTCGGCACCGCACTTGTGACTCGTTGCGTGCAGGTGACCCTAATACCATAAAAAAAAATATCAGTGTCAATGATGTGATTCAGCACTAGTGAGCTTTTAAACCAGGGATTCTCAAACTATTTTGGGCAAGAGACCCTTTTCGAAAATAAACTGATACCTCAGACCCCCATACCCAAATTACTTTAAAAAATACCGTCTAGTTTTCCTCCTATTTCGACCCAAAGAGGTTGATCTCGAAGACTTTGTGAAACCTCGATTCAACGCAAATTACCAACATATTTAAGTAGTCCTGAAATCATAACCCAGACTAGAGGATCATGACGTATTCGTCAACCATCGTCCATCTCAACTATATCAAAAGAAACCGAAGGATCCGGTCCAAATGCCACCAATGGCAGGTCTTCTACACGAGCATGACATACTTTCAGATTGATTAAAAATATATATTTGTTTTTATGGTTTAGAGGGCAAACGCTCAGACGGCTCAGCTGATGGTAAGTGACTACCGCTGCTCATGGGTGGGTACCTGTAACTTGAGAGTCACAAATTGTTTTCTTTCTTTTGAGTCTCTCCCCCCCAGTAACAGGAGGAGGGAGGTAACCTTACTCACGCTGTGAAAAAAAATGCTTAACACAGATTTTCTGTAGTTTTTTTTTTTTTTTTAAGGCAAGACGATCATGGGGGCGATGTACACTTTCCATCAGGTGACCCGTCTGCTATTCTGCCTCCTCTATAAAAAAAAAAGTGTGTTTCGCACACGGCAGAAAAGAAACTTCCGAAAAAAAATGTTTTACTATTTAATCCTTTTTTTTAATCTCAGAAAAATCCTCTAAAATTTTGCCCGGCCCGGGAATCGAACCAACTAATGCATTTTTCAAATTACACGCGAACGATGTCGCGGGTATCAGCTAGTATTGAATAAAAAGAAAGAAATATTCACACTCAAAATATTATATTAAAAATAATGTGTAATATATTCTATCTCATTCTCTCGCCGATTTAAACCTATATATTTATGTGGTTGTTTCTTTATCGTGATGCATTTTCGTTTCATCGAGTTTCATATCAGAATCAGAATTGCGATAGTCTTTATGCATCGTCTGAAAACATATTATTGGCAAAAACGCGTGAGTAAGTAGTAACCCAAACCTACGTACGAAAAAATCGAATGATAAATCACCGGTCGTTCACAGTTCACTGTGATTTAGTCCCATGTCTAGTTTTCTGTAAGGCCAAGGTATCCACTCCGGCCGAGCCTATCAATTTGTGCCGAAGCAGTCTCTTCCACAACTGTACTTTAACTTACACTTTAAGCTTATATTTAAATACATACATTTTTGTATCCTCTGTCGAGCTAATTACGTTTGTTTTTATTCAAAGCTCGCTTCTGACGAATGTATGAAGGTATATTTAGATATTTTTCGTACGCATTCGGCTGCCACTTATTCCCGCCTACTTCATCCAAAGGTTGTCTGGAATAAATCTGGCTTTAAAGATAATGCTGCGTACTCACTTCGGATTCTTCTAATTGAATTCTGTAATTGAATTTTCTGTTTAATTTGGTGTACCAAAAAGAACTGTTATTATTTGTTCTGTGATAGTGGTAGCCACTAATACGGCTAGCCTAATCTAGAGAAACTTGTATAATTTGTTATAAATAAGAAATAATCCTTTCGTTTGTCGTCGATAATTCTAGAACTACTGAACCAATTTAAACATTATTTAACTGTCCTTGCAAATTCTTTAAAATAGAAACGAGACAGTGCTACGAAAACTGATTGACATCAGTGACAATGATTGACCTTGTTTGCCACAAGCGTGGTATTTTATGCATTAGTAGCAATCTATATTTCATTTCAAAAACAGGTATTTACCTATGCATTTTAGAGAGAGAGATGCGCTAAACACTGTTAGTCTTCGGTAAAAAGTAAACTCGAAGACAAATATCTAATAAAAATACAATATTGGCTGACTAAAACCCTAACTCATTGCACCTTCACCGAGTTGACAACTTTGTTTCATAATTTTTTCCTCTGGAATTAGTCTTGGTAAACAATAGTCGTATAATATGTTCACAAGTAGAACTACTTTGTAAAGTTCATTGCCTACTTTGAACGCTCTACTATCTTGTTGTAAATTGTATCTATATACTAGCTGTAAGCTGCCACGCTTTAATAAAACAATGTTTGAAGCGGGTTGTATATCGTGTCAAAATGCAGATTTTTTTTAGGTTCTTGTTACGTACACAAACCATCGTTCCACACGGCAAAATTTTCATCCTTATCACCTGGATAGTTGGCGCTCCACTTGTGCGCTTTTCGAGACAGTTTTTGCCCCGCACTACCAATCTTTGGAACGAGTTATCGTCTGCGGTATTTCCGGACCGATACGACCTTCAAACTCCTTCCTAAAAGGCCGGCAACGCGTTTGTGACTCCTGAGTTGCAAACGTTCGTGGGTGGCGATGGTCATTTTCCATCATGTGACCCGTCTGCTCGTCTGCCCCCTCTGACATAAAAAAAAAAACATACAAATATAAAGTATTATGAATAGGTACATCTATATCTCTGAGGCTTAACCTTTTTAAAATTCGGTTAGGTACTTTTAAAAGTATCCCAAATTTTTTTTTTTTTTTTTTACACACAACGCCATCTAGTCCCAAACTAAGCAGAGCTTGTACTATGGGTACTAGACAACTGATATAAATACATATATACTTTTTTTTTTTGTAAATACCTACATATTATACATAGAAACACTCAGACTAAATCAAACATTAAATGTTCATGCACACAAATGTTTGACTTGAGCGGGAATCGAACCCGCGACCTTTGGAATAGCAGTCCGTTACACAAACCACTACTTTTAATTTTTTAAATTATAAACATCTATTTTTTTATAAGTACGTTTTCAAATTTCTGGAGATTGTTTGTTTGAGCAAAATTTACGTTATCTATCAAGATTGATAAGTGATCCCTCAGTTCATTATGTCAGTGCACGGATGTTGAACGTGAAGTGATAAACTCGCTCAATGACAATCAGGTCGTATCAATATCTATGAAAATTTGCACATTTATTACTGATATCGTGATAAAAATAATCTTACTCTAACTTTGTCAGACGACTAATGCAAGAGTTGTGACACTCACGCCCATAATGAGATACTTTTCGAACTATTTTCTTTTTTAAATTTGGAACGACTTTACTGATAAAAAACAGTTGGGTGTTTTTTTTAGAATGTTGGTGTTCATCCTTATGGCTTTTGGCAAGAGGCGAATAATCTATGGTGACAATACTAATGATAAATTAAAGTAGGTCCGTTTGGTGATATGATCATTAATTTTTGAGCTATACGTGCCTAGTTGCTATGTCTAGGCACTAGGTATTGTTACAATTAGAAATTCAATAATGTCACACAATACAAAATGTGATTTAAGGTGATTTAACACATACCTAAGACTTAACGCAGACATACATAGATTACTATCGTATGTATGTCAGTTATCGCGGTAAAAAGTAGCCTATGTCCTTCCTTAAGAATCAAAGTATCTCCAAGCCTCCAGCAATGTAAGCGTAACAGACAGGGTTACATTCGCATTTATAATATTAGTAGGCATTTTTGCAGACAATAATTCTATTTTTGTAATAGGCATCCCTATTGCCGCCAATCGTGCACACAAATTGAATAGGAAAATTTAAAATATTACAGAACGGAAAGGTTATTAATGGTAATACCAAAATATCCTAATTTAGATAAACAATAATGGTGTTGAATTTCATTCAAAAATAACTAACGTACATAACAAGTACTAATTGAGTTATGTAACTACCTCTTAATAATTAATAGTTTTTAATTCACCGCAATAGAAGCTGGTTGAACCGTTGGTATTTTTACATTCATAAATCGAGCGTAAAAATATCTTACCGTTTTAAATAGGTCAGAAGCGTCGGCCCGGAGTTTCCGATTCCATCTGTGATTTCAAAGATAGACCATGTGGATATTATTTTACTCCATCTGGATGCCTTTGACGAAAAATAATTAATCTACCTAAGTTAGCAAATATCAATAAATTATTTTATCTAAATAAAATTTAAACGTTTCCTCAAATTGTTATAATAATTGTTTGTTTATTAACATAACAACAACAGAACAACAACAAATCTATATGTATTGCTGTTATGTTATTTGCACTAAATAATCTATAATTTCTCGTATATTATCGAAATAAAACTATTTTAATAGCTTTTTATATTTATACAATACTAGCTGACCCGCGCAACTTCGTCTGCGTCTCTCAATAGTAATAAATTTTCTCCGTTTTTGAAATATTCTTCATTGGTGCTCCGCTCCTATTGGTCTTAGCGTGATGATATATAGCCTATAGCCTTCCTCGATAAATGTGCTATCTAACACTGAAAGAATTTTTCAAATCGGACCAGTAGTTCCTGAGATTAGCGCGTTTAAACAAACAAACTCTTCAGCTTTATAATATTAGTATAGATTTGAAACTTGACACAATCAATACCAACCCGTCTGGCCAGCGTGGCACAGCAGGGCATAACCTCCTTTCTAAGGAGAGGTCTATTTCCAGCAGTGGACTGCTTAAGGCTGTTGATGATGATACAAATAAATTGTTTTTATGAGACTTAAAAAATAAAGACACTTTTATTTTAATCTTATATGTAAATATTTTACCCATGCAGAAGTTAGGTTTTCCGTACTACTATTATAAAGCTGAAGAGTTTGTTTGTTTGTTTGGTATAACGAATTCAGTAATTATTTCAGTGTTGGATAGCCCATTTATCGAGGTAGCATATAGGCTGTATAACACCACGCTACCACTAACAGGAGACAGTCACTAATTGAAATACTATCAATGAAAAATATTGCATAGACGAGGTAAATTATTCCTTTTGAGAGACACAGACGATATTGGTCAGCTAGTATTTTATCTATACGAATAAATGAAATTGCGAGTGTCTGTTTGTAATATTAAAATAACTGCTTTTTACTAAATGCATATGTATGTTTACACGGTACATATGCCAAAATAACAGTTTTTACAATTTTTGTCTGTCTGTCTGTTTGTTCCGGGTAATCTCTGGAACGGCTGGACCGATTTCGACGGGACTTTCACTGGCAGATAGCTGATGACATAAGGAGTAACTTAGGCTACTTTTTTTAGACTAGCTTCGCTTTTTTGCGGTTATAACAACAAACGCGGGTGACACCGCGGGTCTCAGCTAGTAGTATATATATAAATAGTAGTAGGTAACAGATCGTTCAAAACTATTTAAAAAAAAAACTCAACAAAGAGGCGGAGTTCACCGTTTTTTTTAAAAGACAGGGTACTTGTCAATTTAAAATCTAAAAAGAGGGTCTGAATTTACAGGAAAGTCACAATTGGGTCACTGAAAATTTTTGAAAAGGTAAAGTTGTCCCAAGAAGAAAATGTTTTAGGGTATAGCAAAAATTAAACCAATTATTAAATTGACGAACTGAAGATAACCTTAACTATGTAAAAATATGGGACGACACTTTATGTGATTCACAAATTGTTGTTCTGAGTCTGGGTGTAAAGTCTCCCGCGACATAGGATATATTCCTAATGCGGGAGTTGTCTTTATAAAGAAAATAAATAAAACTGTTTAACCATGTTTTTTTTTCTAGATTCGGTGTTTTCGAGCAAGCCAAATTATACATGGTAAAAGAAGATGGCACACTCTCTACGTCTGGCAAGCTCCTGTGTGGTTTAACCGCTGGTGTCGCTGAGGCAATATTCGCCGTTACCCCAATGGAAACGGTCAAGGTCAAGTTCATCAATGATATGAGAATGGAGAAGCCCAGGTTTAAGGGATTCTTTCACGGAGTCAGAACTATTGTGAGGGAAGAGGGTACGTATTTTTGAGCTATTTGTTAATTAACAAAACGAATGCAAAAAATAGAAAAAAAGACATTTTAGAAACAGTTTTGTTTGGCCACACGTATCATGTCAAAATTTGAGCTCAATCGGTTCAGAACTTTTTTGAGTCTTTGAAGCATACACAAACCAACTTAATATTTTCACATGATTATAAAGATAACATAGTATTTCGATACGCATCGATGTACAATCTAAATTGCACTTTAATACGACTAGCGAGGGTTACTATTTCCTTGAGTATCTTTAACGAAACATCTGTCTATCCTCTCTCATTGTGCTAATGCATTGTCTATCAGTTGTAACTTTTGTTACCAGAACACACAGTGGTGACGGATTAAGAATACGGATTGTCACCACCCCCATTCATCCCGTGGGTGTCGTAAGAGCCGACTAAGGGAGCAAACTATGCAGGACAACAAAACTGTAAAGAGAAGGAAAACTTGACACAAACCCTATACCAACCCGTCTGGCCAGCGTGGTACAGTAGGCCAAAACCTCCTTTCTAAGGAGAGGCCTATGTCCAGCAGTGGACTGTTAAAGGCTGTTGATGATGATGATGACAGTTATGTAAAAGGGTTTCTTAACTTCAAATAATATATGAAAACTCATTGGAATATCGTTGCAAATATGAAACGTACATTTAAACAATACGAAGCGGATTAACATCGATTGTTTATGCATTGAATGTTTGAAAGGTATGAGGATGCGATATGCTTAAAGATCCAAAGTTACGTAATGTTTTCATTGATTTTATGTTTTGAACTCATAAGCTTGAACATGAAGCCCCTTTATTTCATTTCCTCCATTACCAGATAGCCAGTGGTATGACACGTTTGGTCGTGTCGTATAACGATAAAAACAAAGACATTCTTAATCGATTTTAAATGATAATATAGCACTGCAATTATTTATCATTACTGGGCTAAGTTGTATTTCTACGGTATTAGAAAGGAAAGAATTGAAATCGATATGAACATCTTCAGAATAAACAATTTCAGAACATGAAAATATCGTAATAATCTCTCATTGACAAGAATATAGTAGCTATATAAGTTCATTCATAGTACTATGAGTAAAATTACCTGGGATCTTATCGTACGATGGTTTCGAAATGTACAGGCAATGTTCCCAAGTCTGACTTAAAATAATTAAAGCAGTTCAGATTATCGTTCATGCATAATACGATTTGGTTTTGGATATTTTTTTTACCATTATATTGTAAATACCTATCTTCTTAAAAAATCTACAGCCAACATATTCAAGTCGTAACTGCTGCTTAAATTAATTTATTTATATAGGACAACTTACAAAACATACACTAATACATAATTTACAAACATGTTTTACAAATATTTTCTGAGTGTTGTCTTACTTACAAGTTGCTTATTCATCATCATCATCAGCCTATCGCAGTCCACTGCTGGACATAGGCCTCTCCCATAAGTTGCTTATTATAATTATATAATTAATTAACAGGTGTTGGAGGCGTGTACAAAGGAGTGACGGCGACTGTAATGAAACAAGGCAGCAACCAGGCTATTCGATTCTTCGTGATGGAGTCGCTCCGAGACTGGTACAAGGGCGGAGATAGGAACAAGCCTGTGCCCAAGTACATTGTTGCCTTATTCGGTGGTGTCGCTGGTACGTGTTATTCTCTTGGATATCTTTTTCATTTTAATTAACTGTCCCTAATATAAAACTTGTCCGTGTGGTGACCGATTAAGAATACGGAGTGTCATCCCTTTTTATCTAGTGGATGTCGTACGAGCCGCCTAAGGAAGCAAACTGCAGGATAACAGCACTGTAAAGAAAGGGAAAACTTGAAACAATCCTTATACCCAACCCTCTGGCCTACGTGGTATAGTAGGCCAAAACCGCCTTTGTAGAGTTTGTAAATAAGCACTGATCTAGTCTGATTTTAAATGTTCATGTTGCTTTAGAAAAGGCATATCGTTGTTGCGCCTGCTAAATTCCATTTAATCAACAGTATATCTCCACAATCTTCCCGTAAAAATCATACGCCGATCTAATTCACTAACAGGTAGTCCAGATCGAATTCAAAAACGTTGTTCTATATAATTACTTATTTAAAAATAGGACACTATTGTCTATTTGCGTTAAGAAAATACTGACGCCCCCTGACCTGTAAGATTTAAAAAGAAATATCGTTAGCAAGCTTAGAACCTGGTCAATCAGGGTACTGGCTTGGCAGGGTACGATGCGTTACTATTTTCTCAACCCGAATGGACTGTGTGTTTATACGTCAGTGACTCTCAACACTCATAATCTATCTGATATATCATCATCACCATAATCTTGCTGAACTTCACCCAATTTTAATTGTGGTTACCACGTCTCTAAACAAATAATCGATATTTATATAAAACTTTGAATTTCTAAAACAAATATCACTTTACTTCTGTTTCCAGGAGCCGCGTCAGTATTCGGCAACACGCCAATAGACGTAGTCAAAACTCGGATGCAAGGACTCGAAGCTGCAAAGTACAAAAACACTTGGGACTGTTTCTTCAAGACCTGGAAAGCTGAGGGACCTTTAGCCTTCTACAAAGGTACCGTACCTAGACTATCCAGAGTGGTCTTCGACGTAGCTATTACGTTCACCATATACGATTCTATCATGGATGTATTTAATTATGTATGGAAGTAAGCTATAGAAATGTGACGGTGGGTTTTAGAAGCTTGGTACGTTTATTGAGCAAAGGATTTGTGGCTGGTACAGCTGAATCTGAACCGCTTATTTTAATGTGAAATCGTCGCGGCTTCGTGTTTGTAAAATAATTGAAAAGAAAACAAATCACGGCCAGTCATAGACGGCTGAAATCGACTTCCATGCATGCATTTTTGTCTTTTCGAAGTGTTATATGTCTCGAAGATCGGTAGGTGTAGCACGACTCGCTAACCGACCAACCTAGAGTACGGTCTTTTTACTGGTGTTGCAAGCATGCTTCATAGCCAATGAGACAATTTGGCTACTAAATAATTCTATAAAAGTTGTTCAGCATTTGCCACAAATCTTTTCCCAATAACTAATGTGTCTAGTTATCGTAGAAATTTAAGGAATAATGAATGAGAATATAAGAAACTCTGTGGTGTCTAGCTATGTTACAAATATAGTGTAGATTGCTGTAGTTTGGATCACGTTCCTATACTTGAACACAAATCATATTTTTCTATACTTTCCGTTAAATTTCAATAGCTATTATGCATGTCTTTAATACAAATATGAATAATATTCTAAGATAAAATACATATACACGCCCTATGCCGGCGGGTATATTTGTTAGGCATTTTGTTAAAAAAAATAGAAATAAAGGAATACTGTAGTATAATAATTAGAGTTTCATACTCTAAAATGAAAAATAAAATACTAATATTTTTTCTTTAATGTTAAATTGTCTTGTAAATTATAGGTTTTTAGAAGTTGGTTGTAGAACAACTTACTTCTAAAAATATTTATTGGTCATACTTTAATCTTTTTTCAAAAATATTAAATATTCTTGCATGTTTTAAATGAATTTTTCCTTGCCATTTAATACTACTAATACAAAAGTTACGACAAAAGTAACGTCTGAAAACACCATCATACCATTAGTAGTTAAGAAATCGATGCGATTTATATGTTCAAATGCTTTAGTGAATTTAAGTTTATGGAATGTTAGTGATTGTTTTATTGGCTTCACGGTTTAATGCATTTTTTCTTTTTAAAATAGATATGCATATTTTTGTCATAACGTCCGATGACGTAGGTCTCATACATACCCTTCAAACATTTGCATATTGTTGTAGTTAAATTTAAAAAATAAAAATATACAACAACTGTTTGGATCTTTCAAACTCAGACGTCATCGGTGGCTGGCAACAGTTAAAATGAAATCAAAAATGCATTAGTTCTTTTTGTAAGTCATAGTTCGTCAGCCGCGTATGGATACGTCATAAACTACCAAATGTTGCCAACATTCAATAATAAAAAATAAGTCTTTATTTTTTTGCACACATGGACAAGGTCAATCAGAAAATATGGCTTTAAGTCCTTTACGCGGCTGTACGCGCATGTTAATTGTATTTATAAAACTTACCATAAGTAATTATCAATTTGTTTTTTTTATTGTTACTTTGTTGACGAACTATTAATTAACTTTGGTTTTTAAATTTGGGTATTTTGTGATGATTTATTTATTTTTAGGGGGTAGTGTATGACTTTATTTTATAAGCGCAGTATAATTGAACCAAATGGTTACGTTTTATTTGTAGTTGATGTCCCCAAGGGAAGTTCCAAATGTTTTATAGATTGTTTGTAAATATTAACTATTTAATATATTTTTATATGTCCAAAACTTTTCATAGTGAATGTTTGATACCCTTCTTAAAAAGGTATAATTGTTAAAGCGTTCAGTAATTTTGTTCAAGCGATCAATACTTTAGTCGAATGATCTGACTTTAATGAAATAATATGTTGACATTTATGGGATCGTATACAAGGTAGTTCTAAATGCAGTTGTCAGAATTGAAGCCAAGTTTTATTTTTATTTTTTGGTGATTTATCAATTTCCTCAAATAAAAAAAAAAAAACATTTTTTTTAGAAACAGAAATTAATAACAACTGCAGTTATTACCTATCATTGTGTTCCTCGGCGCATTTCAAAGATTTTTTTACTCCACTTTTAAGAATCCTATTTAAGGTCTCTTAAGGATGATCTGAGGTTGACAGGTCTTTATACAAATTTGAACCTTAAGGTATCTTAAACAGACATTCCAAATAATGTAATAAAACAAATACCTCTGTTTTATTTTATATTTATTTTGTTTCTGTTTTTTATTTAATGTTAATATTTATTAAATATTTCAATCAATAAAATTGTCAGACAATTTAATTATGGGTTTCATTTTGTAAAAAACTCTGAACTGTACACATTGAGGATATTTTAAGCATCATAACAGACTTTTTGTTTTTTAAAAGACTACTCCCGCATTAGGAGAACATCCTGTGTCGCGGGGGACTTTACAAACATACATGAAATGGACATAAAGAACATCCAGACTCAGAACAACAATTTGTGGATCACACAGTGTCGTCCCACATGGGGTTTGAACCCAACACACAACACTCGGCGTAGTAGGAAATGGCGTGGCGACCGCTTAAACCACTACGCCATCCGTGCAGTCAGACTGGGTTGACCAGAGGGCTTAGTGTGAGTTTATTTCACATCAACTCGCTCTCAAGTAAGTAGTGTCGGAACTTAGTCGATTTAAAGTACTTAGAGTGCTTCGCATGAACTGGAATATACACCATAGTATACGAGTGAACGTTACACTTAACAAAGCTTAACCATTGAACAAGAATTATTGGTCACGAATATAAACAATGGGAATTACACATCACATCAACAGCCTTTAATAGTCCACTGCTGGACATAGGCCTCTCCTTAGAAAGGAGGTTTTGGCCTATAATACCATGCTGGCCAGACGGGGTGGTATAGGGTTTATGTCAAGTTTTCCTTCTCTTTGCAGTGCTGGTTGTCCTACGTTAGCTCCCTTAGTCGGCTCTTACGACACCCACGGGATGAATAGGGGTGGTGACACTCCGTATTCTTAATCCGTCACCACACGGATGTGGGAAAAGGAATTAAACTATACTATAATACCGTACAATTGTTGTGATATGACAAAATAAATTGTTTTAATTAATTACTTAATTTACTTCAATTCATTGAATTTGATTGTTATTATTGATCGCTACATGGTTATTTGTATATGATATTTAATTTTTTTATGTTCCCTGTATCAATAAATTTCACAACATCTTATTAAAATTACTTGAGTATCTTATATGTAATGTTGAATACCGGTGTCTTGGGTTGGCCTATTCAAACACAGACCCTCCAAAGCATTCAGTTGTATTACAGTTATAGCGAAATTACAATATTAGAAATATATATATGTAGTATATAATGTAAGACGTGTGTACATAGGAAAAATAAGTAGTCGTATGTCGGCGCGTAGTGGTGAAGGTGGGGCGATCGTAAAACCAGAGAGTAACCGGTTTAAACTCCTTCCGCCGCATCACAGACACGGCGTGAACATGTAATATCAACTAACTGAACACAGCAATAAGTCTCATTTTGCCGTAGTCGAACAAAGAACATTTTTAAAAACATCCTGTCAGTGTTGCATCTTAGAAATCATTTTTTCCTTTTTAATACAGATTAACAATAATTCATCTTCCTAAAAAGTATGATCAACTACAATGCTCCTACTTCATAATAAATTAAATATTAACAAACAATGTTCTCCATTCTTTAATTTTCATTTTTTTCCAAACCTGAAACCCTTAATGGAACCTTTTAAATATAAAAAGAGATCCAATTCGTTTAATAAACGTAGTCTTGAAATAAACTAATACAAAAAAAATACAAACGAATTAAGAACTTTCTACGTTTTCGAAGTCAATTAAAGATAAATATATTTCACATTTTTATTAAAATATAAACATAAAAAAATATGGGATCACGTTCACAAGACTATTACTAATTTTTTTTACGTAACGTACGTACGTAGTTTGTAGCTACAATTAAAAGGGAAAATTACTTAAACCACTAAACTTTTGGGCGGGCACACATCTGTGGTTGAGGTTGTAACTATCCATTATTGCCATCTCGTCTTGCGTCAGCTCAAAGTTGAATATATCCAAGTTCTCTTCGATGCGCGATTTAGTAAACGATTTAGGAATTATTGCGATGTCACGTTGAACCTGAATGTAACAAAAAGATAAAAAAATATGGATTGCTGAGTGTGAGAAGACAGAAATGTTGGTTTATGTTTAGAGGTAAGGATGGGATTATTTTTTATTGTACAGGGGGCTATAAAAAATAATTAAAGAGTGTTTAGGCTATTTTGGTCATGTAACCCAGAGCCAGCCGGATAATCTTGACAATATGGCGGTAGTTGGCAAAGTAGAAGGAAAAAGACCTCTCCGTCGGGCATCAACGAAGGAATTGTTTAACACCGGTTTCCTGTAATTCCCTCCTATTACTGTGGTCGAACCGGCCCGTTTGTGCCCTATGTATAGTACCCTCTGGTATTAGACTTACTTTTCGCCGGACTATTATGACCTGGCCATTACCACTGTATTTTACCAATAAAAACCGTTGGGTAAAATAAATCTACGTCCTGAGAAGCGTGGCTTACAAAGTCCATACGACCACCAATATAGTCAAACTGACAAATCTCTTAAATTAAGGGAACCTATTTGGTGAAAGCTTCCAGGAGGCCTATATTCAGCAAAAGTCCAGTGAGAGGATGTTTCAATATCTATTGACAGTACTGCTGGTCTACTTGTTAGTGATCAAGGCTAAAGCTATGATCACCACCCAGGACAAATCATTAGGCAGTCTGGTTACCATAGTACAGGACACAGGACAAAGAGCTTATAAATATAGAGGAAGCGAACAAAGTGCCATCTCACACGGTTGGTAGAGAGAGAAAGAAGATTGTTTTGGTCTTGGATCTATCTCTGCTCTTGTCACTGATTGGATATTTTAAATGCCCTTTTCGGTATCAATCAATCAGTGGATAGCCAAAATAATATTCTTTCTCTGTCTAACGGCGGTTCCCTACCACTTACAGATAAATATACAGTTTGCTCGCTCTATTATATTATTTCTATGGTAACATTTCGCGTTCCTGCAATCTATGAGAGTGATTTTATAAAAAAGGGACGGTAGTATGTAACAGGAACCTGGGGATAGCCGCTCTATTTGATTTGATCAATGAACGCGCGCGTTGCTAGAGCTGACCATAGAATTCAAATTATTCTTTTTTGCAGGAAACAATGTTACAATGGTGTTATAAAATTCAGAAAGGTCAAATGGTAGATGAGATGACATATGTTTTATTAGTGTAAGCTGTAGCTATTACTTACCAGATATCTCAGTGCAACTTGGGCACGAGTCTTGCCATACTTCTGGGCTATATCGGCGAGTTTGGAATCTGTTTTAATGGTATCTTTTCCGATAAATTCCGGTCTTGCATCAGATATTAAACCTAACGGTGTATAAGCGACTGGTACCACTGATAACTTCTTGCAGAAGTCAACCAATTTGTACTGAGTTAAGGTGGGGTTTATCTTAAAAAAAGAGAATCAATATTATTAACAGGTTAAACACGATAAAAAGAAACAGGGTTTTAGCTAAAGTAGTTACAGAAATAAAAAACGGCGTGAGGGGTCTATGGACCACCGGTCGGAACGACGCCTTGAGGTAAGTATAGGAGTCACCTTGAGATGCTTCATGGGGTGGAAGGCATCGATTTATTAATCAGTGAAACGTAGAGTACGCATTTAAATCGCCTTCTACCTGTATACAAAAACGAAAATATTGTTCCCTAAAATTAAAATGTTTATTTAAAACCTCGAACCCAAATTACCCATAGTTCTTTCTTTTTCCGGTCTAATGGCAAACTAAAACAATTTTTCAGTGATGCCTATTTTTAATATCTACCTTCAGCAGTGATATTGTTGCTCATACACAAACATACCTCCCTTACATTACATACGCCTTTAGTTAACTTACAATATTTTTCGAAAAGTAATTGAAGGCTGAATCCAGCATTTTACCTAATCTAATCAAAGAAAAAAAAAACAAAAGAATAATATTTGTGATTAATTCTTACTTCAATTTGATTGACAACAGGTTTAATTTTAGCTGCGTTTATTAATCTCTCAATTTGAGCCTCGTTAAAGTTCGATACACCAATGGACTTTGTTAAACCGAGCCTGACAGCCTCCTCCATTCCTCTCCATGTTTCTAGGTAATCTATGCCAGTATCTTCACCGTTAGCCTGAAAAACAGATTAAATAAACAAAAAGAATGAACGACAAAGTATTATAACATTTAAAAAAAAGTGAATAGGTTTGCTTATTATAGTTATGAGTTCATTTCACATCTATTAGATGTCACGGTGAGCACGTTCGGAGTTGCAATTAGCCCGCGCAGAAAACTTTACCAATCACAACCAGGGCAGGTGCCCCGGTTTGCCACACACACAAAAAACTTGTTCCACAAAGCGCCTAACATACTGAAGCCTGGTTGGCTCACCGTCGACTTGTAATAAAAAGGCGCCACACAGGCCTACACTACAGGTGAACTTTATATAAGTTCACTTGTAGTGTGAGTTTTTTTAAGTAATGTATATTGTAATAAGATATGTATATATAAAACCTTCAAGAAAAGAGCGTAGACCTTTCGGCAACGCGTTTGTGACTCCTAAGTTGCAAGCGTTAATGCGCGGCGATAGTCACTTTCCATCAGGTGACCGGTCTGCTCGTCTGCCCCTCTAACATAAAAAAAAAAACCATCTGTGTAATACTTGCATTTATTGAAAAGGGCCAATGTACGAGGTATAAGTCCACATAGTCCAGTTGGAGCTTGGCCAAAGATTCCTTAAGTGATGGCACCACATCACTTTCAGCATGACAGTCATTCCAAAGCTAAAGTAAAACAACAGAAAATAATTTTATCATTTCTATCATAACATTTAGACTTAGAGGAACTAACAACATAAGAAATAATTTGGTATAAATAATATATATACAAAGTATGTTTATCATTTAATCCCTTCTAATCTTTGACCCATTTTATAGAAACTTTTATCTCTGTTTGAGTCACACACATCTGGACCCAGTAGATGATGCTGTAATCCGACATTAGACAGTACCTGACAGTAGTCATTTTTAATTAAGCGACTTGTCCGCTTCTTATACCATAGTAAAAAGTCAAATCTAGGATTCTTATTTCATTGTAAGATAAGAAAGGGATTAAATGGGTGTCTAGTTGGATTACATTTATGAGGGGTCTACTTCACTACAACCAATTTCTAAAAATGATATACATTTTATTTTAAAAGTAGCTGTTATTTAATAAGATTCAGTTTAATAGTTTAACTGCCTCGGTGTGTGCAGTGGTATGCGACTGCTGTGCTGAGGTCTCGGGTTCGATTCATAGGTCAGACCAAATGTTTGTATAATCTGCAAATATGTTTCGGAGTTTGGGTGTTTTCAATATGTATGTATTTACAAAAAAAAAGTATATAAGTTTCTTATGAGTCAATCTCTCAAAGTACAGTGTTTTATTGAGTTCAATATAAAGACCAAAACAAAAATCCCGTATTTTTCACAGGCAGGTTCTTAGTATTCCTTATGCTTTACTTTTAATACGAATTTATCACTTTTAGTTTTAATAACAAGAGTATTACAACTTGCCTTAGTAGTTACAAACAGTTGTTCCCTAGTAACAGTTCCTTCTTTTATCTTGTTCTTAATGCCTTCCCCAACTTCTTGCTCGTTACCGTAAATCGATGCAGTGTCTATGTGCCTATAGCCAGCATCTATACCCCACTCAACACCCTGTCTAAACTGTCCAGGATCTGCTTTCCTCTGAAAAAGATTTATAGACATGTTGAAGAGTCTCACTGAGGGAGAGCAACGCTTCGGTATAAATGGGTTTAGATCAACTGGATCCTTACAGACAACCCCAGCACACAAAGGTTGACTGGGAGAAAATGCCTTTGACATTAAATCTGCCATTGTTCAATTAATTTGTAATTTGTGCATAAAGAATTTAATAAATTAATAAAAAAGAAGTTAAGCAATTATTTCGTTGCTTTTTACGAATTGAGTCACTGTACAAGAGCCCACACCTATCCTTCTCCCTGATTTTGGGGTTGGTGGGGTCAATGGGCGGAGGTAGTCACTTACCATCAGGTGACCCGTCTGCTTGTTTGCCCATTGTGCCATAAAAAAATTACACTAGTACCGAATTACTTTCCGTAACTTTTATGAGCACAGTAGATTTATGCATTTAAATTACACTAAAATACTACCCACAGCCGTTCCTTGCTGATTTACCCATGTTGATTGTCATTGCTCCGCTCCTATAGTTCATAGTGTGAAGGTACCTATATCTTTTCTTAATAACAACTAACACAAAAATGATTTTTCGAATCCAACTAGTAAGTTACAAGGTCAGCGTGTTTAAGCCAAAAGAAACTCTTCAGTCATATTAATCATATTATATAGATGGAATAGTATTATTAGCACCCCATATCAACATAGCTTATTTAATGAAATAATGCTTACCGCATAGGTACCAAGGCCAATAATCGGCATAGAGTAGCCACTCGACAATTTAATATTGTTGAACACCATTTTAAATAATATTGAGAGTGTCAGTGTGAAGTTCAAAGTGTTGTATAAAATTGATAATTTGATTTTGTTATGCTGAAAATACTGATAATATACCTTCCTTATCACAGCAAGTTTTCAAAACCAAAAAGTTTAGTACTTTTATAAACATACCTATCACAAGTAGGTAAAGTTCAAAATTCCAATTCAGAACAATCCCGCACACAGAATGCGACAAGTACCTATAGATACAGCACTGAGTTTTGTAAACTCCTTGGAGACATACATAATATCTCATATAAATTTAGGTTGAATAATATATTGCATTTAAATTTTAAATGATCTACACATTAATTAACAGATATATAATAATAAATTACTGACACAACGTCAACAACTCATTTTATTAATTAAATCCGTAATGTATTAAAAAAAAATTGACACGAAAAAAATGGGCTGTCACGGGAGGTCAGGCAGATATGAAAAATCGCAATTATTTTGTAGAAATAATATAAGTATAAAATAATAGCTTAAAAGAAATAATAAAAATATTACAATTTAAAATGTAGCCACACCGTATTACATTTTACATTTAAACTATCACACAGCCGGTCAGCCGCGCATTAGATTTTACACATAAAATCCTTTTATTGATGTAAAACATATAATGCGAAAGATCAGACTAGCTGTTGATGTGGCTCCGCGTCGCCACAGAATGCGTCCCTAAACAATATGATAGTCTAATAATATGTAACTTGTAAGAGTTCGTGCAGCGTGCCAGCGATGTTCGCGATTTGGGTTAAAAAACATTAATTTATTATTATTTTCGAAAAGTTCAAAAAGAAAACTCATTAATACTTGTGGTGCTCGAAGTCAATTGTGGTAGGTAAATATATTTTTTAAAGATTGTCAGAAGTAAAATTATTATAATATGAAATATCTTGAAAGGCATGCGAAAAAAAGGAGGGTGCTTTAGAAGTAAAACTTCGTGGCTATGAGAGAAAGAAAATGTGTGTTGGCATCTCTGTCTCTCTCTCTTGCACCTACAGTAATATACGAAACGTAACTCCTCTCTCTTTCTTTTTTCACTAACTTATATCTCCCGATCCAATCCCGATCTTCGCCTCGCCCGATCACACTTGTTTTCACACGACGCACGTACGAGTTAAGTACAATATTTTTTTACCAATTTATCCATAATGGGTATTATTTGTCTATGGTAATATTTGTTGTAATGTAAGTGACAGATAAACAAACCATGTTTTCTGATATTTTTTGCACATGGTTGGTTCTAAACAAAAAATTAGATTTTTGAATTTGTAACTAGTTTAAATTATTTCCAAGGATAAGACATGAGTTCAGAAGAACCTATTAATAAAGAAGCGGCTGAAGCTATCATCAGCTTTTTGAAAGCGAATGTATCCAAATCAGCAATTCCCAATATTGAAAATGAACTCAAGACAGAGTTTGTACTTGCTAAAAAGCGAAGCAAAGTTCAAAAAAGAAGGAAAACCAAGAAGAAAGTGAAAAGCTTAAATAGAAAAGAGAAGAAATCTTTAGGTTTCTATACAATTTCTAGAGATAGTGTTAAGTATAATGACATTTTACCAATGAACCAAGTATGGCAGAAATACATAAGTGAAGTGTTAGATTTAGATAAACCAATTCCAGACTGCACCAGTAAAGCATGGGAAAACTTCACAACGAGTCTCTACAAAGCTGATTTTCATGGAAGTGAACTGTCAGTAATAAGGTCGAAATGCCCTAGTTATGTTGGGAAAAGTGGTATTTGTATAATGGACACTAAAAACACATTTAAATTGGTATCCCGCGATAATGTAGTTACAACTATACCCAAAAGAGAAAGTGTATTTGAGATGTACTTAAATAAGCTTAAAATAACAGTATTTGGTAAACACTTGTGTGTAAGACCAGCTGAAAGATCTACTAAAAAAATCAAGGGCCGTCTTCTTCCTGATTTATAAAAACTGGCTTCTTTTAACTTTATTACTTCAATAACATTATTTTACCTTAGCCCTGTTTAATGAACTTTACAAATTGTAATTTACATGTTTAATTTTACATATTTATCTGTAATAAACATTTTCTCTGTACAGGTAACAATTTACATATATGTAAGGAAAACTGATTTATTGAATGCACAATTGTAATTATAAATTTACATGTTTTGTGATATGTAATTACAATTTTGACAGGTGGACAGGTGGACTCTGCTTTTTTCAGAACTCAACAACTTTGTATATATATTTAATATGTTTTTTTTTTATTGTCATACATTAAAAAAATGTTCTAAGAACTAATAGTGGAGATAGAGACAGTAGTGATGATTTGTTGATGAGTTTCTCGTAAAAGGATGAACTTTAATGTAGATTTTACTTTTTGGGTCTATCTATTGGTTTTAAAATTTGGGTCAGCAAAACATTTTGAAGTCTATTCTATTACCTATCTATTCGATTATAAAAATATTCAATAAAATCTTAATTTCTTAATCTTAATAATTTTTTTGTTACTTGTAACTTACAGTTACATATTTGTAGATAAAATATTGTAATCTAAATTGATAAGTGTTTTCTGCACATGTAAACATTTATTCAACAGCAATTATAATGGTAATATTTGTAATTTTTTTACTTGTAAAATTGCTACATAATTGTAAGCTTTTTAAATTGCACTTGTCATAGAACTGTACACAAATGTCACTTATTTACAAAGGTGTCAAATTGTAATTTTTATTAAACAGGGACCTTGGCACCAGGCTAGGCCCAGGGGAACTTGCTTGAAATTAAAACATGTTTTTATTAAACCTATAATCCATGTTTACACTGGAATCTCACAATAATTATAATTATGTATTTGACAAAAAAAATATTGTTAAACACTAACTGTACATTGTTATGTTACAATCACACTAAATAAATATTTATTTAAATGTAATGTCACACTTTTACTTGTTAGGTCAAGTTAATTTTGTTAAAGTTGATTTTTAATAGAAATTACTTTTCTGCATCTATCTAACCATCATCAATAACTTTAGATAAATTGTAGTTCCATACAGCTCGATCAGTGATATCAGGGTCTCACGTCACTGAAAACAGCTGTTAAGCAGTTTCTTCATTGCTTTTCACCGCGTGAGGGAGGTACCCGAAGTCCAACTCTACCTTTAATTCTGGGGCCGTTGCCAGAGTGCTCCCAGCCCCGCACTCAGGCGGCGTTTAAAGTGCTTGTGATTCTTGAGTTTCAGTTACCTACTCTGAGTGGCGGTAGTCTTTCTTTTGGTCTTTAAGGGATACAAACTATAATTCTAAACTTTTCACTTTTTCGTTATCATATCCATAAATAAACAACTTGTACCTTTACTAACATTCTGCCACTTAGATGGGGATGGCGTGTATTCTCTTCTATCTCGTCCTTTTTGCTCAAAAGGTCACACGTCAAACATTGGAGAAATTATAAGAAACGTCAAAAATGTCAAAACAATCGTCATCCTACAATTTTCCTTTCATTCGTTCGTCATTGTCAATAAAATCAACTGATAAAAAAAAACAAATCTAATTAATCAACTAATTGTACTTTTACTCGAAGCATTTATCTACAATAAGCAATGGCGAACTCAAAAGACGAACCAGTTATTTTAGCACATGAGTGTTATGTCAAAAAGGATTACGCAGGAGCTTTACAACATCTCAATGAATTGGAAAACCTTGTTGGAAGTGGCAATAAACGAGTACAGCATAATAAAGCAGTAGTAGAATTTATGGCCAGTGATATGAAGAATATAGACAACTTCAAAAAAGCCATTGCACAACTAACAGGCCTTACTTTTCCAGACATTGAAACAAAAGATCTTAGCTCACCATTCTTATTATACAACTATGCTGTGCTGCTATACCATTCAAGGTATTATTACCAGTGTGCGGTTCTACTGGAAAGGTTACTCAACTGTAAAAATGTAAAAGACAACAAATTGTTCCAGCAAATTCTATTATTATTGTTAGAGTCTACCCTGTGCAGACGTACGTTTGAGAAAACATTAGAAATAGCCAAAACACATGGCGAGCCTCTAAAGTCTAATAAAGACGTTGGTGATCTATTTGAGAGACTTGTAAGTAGAGCTCAGTTGTTATTGGGCCACAAATTAAAGTTGAATTTAAGATCAGATTCTATAGAAAATGTTTTCATTATAGCACAACAGCAATATTTAAATGGTGATGTAAACGAATCGGCAAGCACATTGGGACAGTACAAAACTTTAAAATATAATTATGATTTAAAGACTCAAGGTGAAGACATTTGGGCAGCCATCAACAATAATCTCGGTGTCATATACTTGTCAATAAAAAAGCCATTTTTAGCGTCAAAGTATTTTCAACATGCTGTTAAGGAACACTTTAAGGCTATGGAATCTGAAGATAGTGAAAGGTTAATAGCTTGCAGGGACCGACCGCTGTATGTTTTTAATTTAGGCCTTGCACTACTGGCAGCTAACAACTCGGAAGGTGCTTTTGAATGTTTAGTAGAAGCAGCCAGACATTATCCCAACAATCCTCGAATATGGCTGCATTTAGCAGAATGCTGTGTAAAGAAATGTTGTAGTGATGAAGCTCAACAGTACACTGTAAAAAAACTAGGCAGTGGTTCACATACTCGCATTTTATTGTCTAAGGAAGGTAAGGATAAGTATTCAACATCAGGGGAGTCATTCGCTATCCCATCTTTATCATTGGAATTTGCAGCATTGTGTTTGAAAAATGCTATAACGTTACTTCCGAATCAAGAGGCACCTGCAGATGTAACCGTTCCATTAATACAAGCACCTCCCGGTCCACCAATTAACTGGAAACAGAGGTGCGAACTGAAAAATTCAACATTTGTATTACAAAGTTATGTATTACTGCATTTACAAGATCCTTTATCTGCTTTAATGAGTGCAAATGAACTACTGAATCAGCCAGACGCATCTAGTAGTCACAAGGCTTGGTCGCATATTTATGCGGCCGAAGCGTTGATAAACCTAGACCGAATAGCTGATGCAGTGGAACATTTACACCCGCCGATGATACATGAACTAGTATCGGTGTTACCAAACCAAATGAAGGATATGATAGCAGTAAGTGTATGGGCAAAAGCGGCCGTCTGTCACATATTGAGAGGTGATTTAGTAACGGCAAGAAAAATACTGCTTCAAATAAATTCACCAAGAGTACTCCCACTACAGATGTATTTAGAAATATGCACAGGTAATATTGAAAACTGCCACACTCTACTTAGAAAACTAAGATTTACTAACTTAACACAGTAACTTTTTGTACAAAATAAAATTTTACAAATTCACACACATTTATTTTACATTTTTTGTTTCCTATGGTAAGTAAAATTTTGCCTGACTTTCTATTTGGATGTTTAAAATTTTCTTTTATTATAATTCGAGATTGCTATGATGCCAGATTTCATTGTTCAGCAAAACTTCAGTATGACTCAAAATGTCCCTTTCCCAAAATCTCTCCTGGTATCAGAATGTCCCCATTCTTAGGTTGATACAGTTCTTTCACTTTTAGGTGAAACAAAATCGGTCTATGCATTTTGATTCCAATATTTAGTGGAAAAGATGCAACGGTAGGTTAGATTAGTAATGTGACCAATATGCAGGAACCAGGAGCGGACCTCGACTGTCAGAACCCATTTATAGTAAGTATAATAATAGTATGTAAACAATATTATATACCTGTTGTATATAGGCAGTCAGATTGCCTAAGGACAAAGGTGAAAGTGACAGTGAAAGGACTGTATAAACCTAAGAATGGAGACATTCTGGGCAAGCGACGTACTGGGAAACGGTCATTGTGGTACCAGAGACATTTTAAACCGTATGTAACTTGAACTGTCACTGGATACATTTTTAGCATGATATCTGCACATATATACTGAATCCCTTTAGTTTTATGTAGGTACTACTACAGATTTATAGTTTAAAAATTTACCTTTGTTCAAGTATGAATATTGGTAATAAACTCACGAGCACTGAATTCGGATCGGTTGAGGAATTCGCAAATATCTCTGAAACTGCAAAAGTTAACCAAAAAGACCATTCAACGCCCGGAGTAAATCGATTTCTTACGGGTGTTGCGTTGCGAGGAAGCAACACAAGCGAGAGGGCTGTAGGAATACGTCTCTCTGAAGTTGGTTTAGCTCCAAAATGACCTGCAAATGGTCCAAACGAGAGAGAAAGCATCGTGTTGCAAGATAGCTACGCACGCGAACATTGATTTTAAGCTAGACCAGTCCAGATTCATGTCATTTAAGCCTGAAGACCAAGGGTATACAGAAGATTAGGAAAATAGTTCAAGCAGGCATGTATTAAACAAAAAGTTTTATACGGTGGAGAGTCCGTACACGTGTGGCCTGAAATTTCTTGCGAGGGCCGAATTGTCAATTTAAAATTGGTAACTTAAACTTACGTTGAAGAAATACTTAAAGAACATGTCGGTCGTTTCATGGTCAAAATTGGGGGAAAATGTCAGACTTATGCATGACAATGCACGCCCAAATACAGCACGGATTGTGAATGGTAACAAGATGTCGGTAAAGGGCATATACCTACTCGTACAGTGTCCAGCACATAGTCCTGACCTCTGAACCCTATCGAGCACCCTTCGTATGAACTTATGGTGTTACCGACACGGATTCAGTGGTCGTGAGTGTAGGTCGGACTTGTGTACGGATCTAGTGTTTGCAAACCCCATCTATCGACGTGAACTCATACCCAATACAAACATTTAGCGTACCTGGAGGGTTTAACAAGATTACTAGTAATGTGTGTAATATATAAGTATGTTTATCAGCAGATCGGGTCGGATCGGATCGGAATATTACTATAGTACAGGCATGTCGGGTGCCTTCGTATTTTTGCATGCTTTATTTGATTGTTAGACTGTACTATTAAGTCACTTAATTTGTATTGTTCAAAAAATGCTTGTACTTGTGTAACAATTTATTCTTCTGCGTTCTCTCTCAAATTTTTGCAATGCCTGGAGAAGGCTTCTGAGTTGGGACTACTACATATAATATTATAAGATCATTGATGTACACTTGGTTGGCAAATAAAGATTTGATTTGATTTGATTTGATTAGTTGTCTAGTTTGGGACCAGACTGCTGTGTGAGATGTGTGAAGTTATTATAATGACCACCTGACCCGGCGAAATTTGTACCGTCTAACAGTAACGTAATAGGATAAATACAGAATAATTAACTTTAATAGTTTAGTAGGATAATATTATATATTAAGAAAATAAAACTTCAATAAAAGTAGAAAAATACGTATTTATTATTTTTTAGATGGCTTCTCAGCAAGACAATTGCTTTACTGTATTTATTTTACAAATGATTTTTAAATAGTTATTCTATTATTCGGGGCGACTGTCTTACACTCGGAATTAAAATGTGTGGTGTTTGACTGTGCGGTGATACGATCCATGGCCCTTTATGAAGCGCCGATATGGGCCTATCGGCCTCCTCCCGCTGCCGAGCGTAGCGGCCATTAGAATCGTACGAGGATACCGCACATTTTCATCGGAGGCAGCGACAGTCCTGGCACGTTTACCGCTTTTTGATATCCTGGCGGGTGGATTCGAAGATCTACGACCAGACTCACGCGAACCACTGGCGTGAAAGCGGGCAGAACAGGATGAGCCCGAAATGCAGTGGAATACTAACCGACAGGCACAGGTGCAGGTAGTAACGCACAGTTAGTGCCGTTTTACCTAAGTTCTCACTGGGCATGGCTACTTCGGTGAGGTAGGTACCTGAATCGGATTGGACGCGAGGAGACGCATCAATGGCAGCACTGCGCAGCCAACTGGGACTCCGCCTAAAAGAAAAAAAACGCTGGAAGACTGCCCCGCGTGGGTATCTGAACGCGAAGCTCAGCAATGATTACAGCCATGCTGGCGGGTGAGGATGTCTGCGGCGCAGTGGTCTCTTTCTGTGAAGTTGTAATGCTCCAAAAAGAGACCACTGAGCGGGATCGGGACAGGGCCGATCCTCAGTGGAGACCTCTGATGGCAGATCAATTCCTGCGGTAGGGGTTAGGATGGCGGCCTGATTGCAATAAAAATGTGCAAACAACATTTAGTGATATACTGATGGGCAGAGGAAAGCCCCTGGCTTCCCCTGGGTGAGGGCCTAGTTAGGTACGGCTTCGATTCGGGGAAGACCTGAAATAACATGGTCTGGGTTCTCCCCAGAGTAGAGCACATTTAGCTTTTCATAACATTTCTAGCAAAAGTTTAGGTTGAAATTATGATTAACCGCTTTTTCGTATCGCTTCCAGACCATTTAAGTCTTTGTAGCGTTCTAAGATCTGATTATGTCAAGAATCTGTCAAAATCACAAACCCAGGAGTGTTATGGTGATTCTTTTTATTTACTATCTAAACAAAAGCGTTATGAATACAATAAAAATAATCAAGTCAACGCGTGTGTGACTAGCTCTAATAATTTCTTTGTATTTAAAGGATTAGCTAAAATTGCCTTAAATAAACATGAAACGATATCTAAACAGTGCCACTAGTTCGTGTAATAAACTCGTGTTTTAAATAACATGGTATTTGGTTTTAAATTTAAGTTAAAGCATCAATGATGGTTCGGCGTTCGATATTTTTTCTTGCTGCTGCAGTGGTTACGTTATATTTTTCAATAATTTTGTTTATGCTAAACCCTTTGCATGGAACTAAAAATGGGTATTATGCTGGGGCGTATATGAACCATTTCGGCTTTCGACAAGACCCGCCTATTAATTGGTGCAGAGAACTGCGATGGCGGCAACCCCCCTCCCCCGATGTTGTGGCTCTGGTATCATATCCAGGCAGTGGAAACACATGGCTGCGATATCTTTTACAACAGGTCACAGGTAATAAATTAAGAAAAGAATACACTCAAATATTTTTGCCATTAGTAACTGTAGAATTTACTAAGTTCAGCCTTTAGCAAATATTTTTTATTACAAATCTAGAATACTGTTACATTAATACAAAAAATATTTATTACAACTGAAAGATCTATATAGTTAAAACCTATATATTTTTTGCAAAATATCAGGGTTGAATATAAAAACTTTTACTGACACTGACCACAAGTGGATCTTATGTTTTATTTTTTATAAAGTTTTCATTCATTACAATAATGATATCATCACTGGAATATTAAAATTACAATGAGTTTTCATTTGAAGGAGGTACACTTCCACTTTAATTTTAAAGTAGTCAAAATGAAAAAGTGTAGTTTGGGATGAGATAGTATTGGGCCAAAAAAACATTAACCTGTTATAGACACCAAAGTTTTGATGGGCAAAATTAATTAGTTAAAATATATGGGTAATAATAATAACAATATACCTCAGACATCTCACACACGGCTGTCTGATCCCAAACTAGGCAGAGCCTGTGTTATGGTAACCAGACTGCTGATAAACATACTTATATTTAAATACATACATATTATAGATAAATTACACCCAGACACAGAACAAATGATCATGCTCATCACACAATATTTGTCCTGGGTGGGAATCGAACCCACAACCTCCGGCTTAGCAGTTAGGGTCACTAACCACTAGACCAACAGGCCCGTCATTTACCATCTTCCTACCCTCCAATTTAGTCAGACAGTTACAGTCTATTTCGGGTAGGTGCAATCCCTTTTATTGACTGGTATTGGGGCTTCAACAATGTTAAAGCCCCAATGTATTAAATGAACACTCCAAAGATCGAGACAGGGCTTTAATATACAAAACAACTAGGTTTTACAGTTTTATGTATCGCAATGCTCACATGTCAGAAGTGAGGAAATAGTTGTTGTGTTATTTATAAATGCAGTTACACTGTATAGTTATGCAACATGAATTACACTAATAGCATAGACAAAAACTATTGGTGAATATGGCATGTATTTTCAGATAGGAATAAGTGAGAAGGTAAATTGGGGTAGAGAGATAGGAACAGGTAGTTAGGGTAGAGGGGTAGGGTTGGGTGATCCTAACTGCTAACCTACAGGTTGTGGATTTGATTCCCACCCAAGACAAATAGTTGTGTGATGAGCACAGATGTTCAGGTTGTTGTCTGTCTGGGTGTAATGGGTGAGCTTTGTGTGTCAGTTATTGTGGCAAAATGTAGGTTACTTGTTGATAATGTAGCTTTCCATTAGTGAAAGAAGTTTTAAAATCTGGTTTAGTGGTTTAGGCATAAAAGCATAATAAACAAACAATCTCACCTACACATTTATAATACATGTAAGCATGGATTTGTATGTATTTACAAATATTTAAGTATGTTTATTAGCACTCTGATTACCACAGTACAGGCTCTGCCTAGATTGGGATCTAAAGACTGTGTGTGAGATGTGTCAAGGTATTATTATTGTGATTGAAGAGTATTGTAACTTCTACCAGCCTTGTACCCGCTTTATGCAATTTAAATAATTTGATTTGAGAAGACAATGCTATTAATGAGGTAATCATACTTGTAGAGGCTGAATAATACAACAGTGCTGTCTACCTTAGTCTATTGTATATAACAAAGAGGTTAAAATATACTTCCGAATAATTATATTCGTAAAAATGTGTTGTCTCAATAATTTCCATAAACTCTTACAGGCATGGTAACAGGTTCTATATACATGGACTATGGTTTGCGAATGCACGGATTTCCCGCTGAGAATGTAACGGATGGCTCGGTACTCGTAGTAAAGACCCATGAAGCACCGCCTGTGGAACCAGATAAATTCAAATCTGCCATATTGTTGATAAGGAACCCCAGAGATGCTATTTTGGTAGGTAAAACTGGTGTTGAGCAATTTTTTCATTGCTTTTCTCCAAGTGAGGTTACTGGAGACCCCAACCCTCTCCCTCTGATTCTGGGGGAGGAGGGGACACACTGTGACTCTTCGAGTTCCAGGTGTCCATTAGCGGCGGTAGTCAGTTTCCAGCAGGTGACCTAGCTGCTCGTTTGCCCCCCTGTACCATAAAAAAAGTATTGCATTGTTGTCTTTGTTTCTCATAATTTTTTTATGTTTTGCCATCCTCAATTAAAAATATCTACTAACATAAACTAAAATTACTTTTAGTTTTTCTCATAAATGCAAGTTTTATTTTTTATCTAATGCCCAATTCCATGTTTTAGCTGCTATATATCAGTGTAAGGAAAAAGAAACTTAGGCGAAAATGGATCTTACTTGGCATAAAAAACCAACGTCCATACAAAAAGTGGACAACTCCTTTATGTTCAATGTAACACACATTTGTGTTACATTGAACATAAGTGTAAGGAAAAAGAAACTTAGCATTATCTTGTTGTGTTTGTGTAGATAACTGACACAACAATTAATTATAACGGAAGAAAAACTCTATGAATAGTCTACAGTTTTCTATATTTTCACCAAGCAGTGTTAATTTGAAATGATTTTAATTTTAAGCTATTGCATAGCTTCTATCGAGGGCCTTGAGCGCGGGGACCGAATCCAGAAATTCCGTAACGAAAAATAACCTCACGCTAAAAACAAAACAAAAAACAGTACCAAAATCAAATGCTGAACGTCAAAGGAAATTTCGTCAACATAATGCAGAAAAATCTTACATGGATATTGATTTAATAATAAATTTTTTTATTTATTTATTTAAAAACAAATTGTAATATACCTAGGCTTCAATATTTTTATTTAATAAAAGAAAAGAAATTGTTTTCTTATCGGTCACCACGCTCAAAAAGTGTAACTTGAATTAATATCAAAGAAAAAGAAATACTGCATAAATAAAATAAATAAATAATTATAATTGCATAAGGCGATACAAAATGCTATGCAATAGCTTTACCGCGGCAGTCCCCGAGTGCCACACGTCTTTTTTTTACAAATACTATGTATTTTTTATGGAATTTCTAATTGTATTTTTATCAAATTCTTACTTATAAGGTAGACAAAGTATAGTTGTGGAATGCAATACATTCACTGCATTCCAAAACTTTGTATCCAACATTATTCAGTTATAGATATGAATGACATGTGACATATGATTATTTATTTAGTTGCATATTAGACAACTTATTTAATTTAAAATCAAATAAATTCTAAGTTAGTTTATGTTATCTCTTTGTAATATTAAATAAGTGTTGTCTCTATCAAGAAAAGCTTTGAATGATTGTTGTTTTCATGTTTTTTTTTTAATTTATAGCTTATTTTATGTTCTATATTGTTTTCAGTTTATGTTTGCAGCTGTAAATGAAATGCTTTATTATTAACTGTTACATTGCATTATCACATACATTCATATGTGCATACATCTGTGTCTAATTTGACGAGATATTGGAGCGATTCATATTTTGGTAATTATTACAATTTCTTATGTCTTTATATACAATTATTATATACAATTCTTCTGTATGTATGTATGTCGAACAACTGAACTGAACTGAACTCCTATTGATGGATCAATTTTGATGAAATTTGTCATGTGTATTTAAGTAGGTCCTTCGTGTGTGTTTAGTGGGTGGCAATTCGGTTTCAGAATTCTTATTTCAATTTTAGATGAATTATTTTTGGGTGTGTGTGTGTGTCTCTGTATGGATAAGAATAACTATGAGACCCAGTAGGTGGCGTTACAACTACGTTTTAGAAATAATTTATATTTTAGTCAAGTTCGCTACTTATGGAAATATTGAAAACGTATGCCATTTACATTGTAATATGGGTGTATTTTATCTCTAACATGTTTATCAGCAATTTGGTTACCATATTACAGGCTCTGCCTAGTTTGGGATCAAACTGTGTGTAGTTATTATTATTATTGTCAAATCATGAATAGACAAGGATTATATGATACTCTGGATAAAAATTAAATATAATACTAATATTGAGTGTTGAAAGTTGGTTAAGTGTGCTTATAACTAGAAAATTCTGTTTTTAGGCCGACTTTAATAGACTACACAAGGGTCATATTGGCACAGCACCTAAATCAGCATTCAAGAAGAAATATCATCAACACAAAAAATCAGGTACAGTATGATTCAGATTAGTTTCATATTTAATTAAAAGATTATTGTTAAGTTATAATATGTGTCTATAATATGGATCTATTTACAAAAAAGTATAAAAGTATTATATCAGTCAATCTAGCTTCCATAGTACAAGCTCTGCTTAGTTTGAAACTAGATGGCGTTGTGTGTCAGATGTCCAAAATATTATTATTATTAAATAAATATTGGAAATACTACAAATTGTAAATATAGGAAGAGTCAAGTAGGACTACGCTTCCGATAGCCTTCCTACATAACTAACTTCTACCGACTGACACCCAAGCCCCAAAGAGGTATGCAGGCCGAAGAGGTATATTAAGCACCTTCCATTTCGAGAACTGCACGGATGGCCTAGTGGTATAAGTGGTCGCCACGCCGCTTACTACGGCGCTGAGTGTTGTGGGTCCGATACCCACATTGGACGACACTTCGTGTGATCCACAAATTGTAGTTCTGAGTCTGGGTGTTCTTTGTGTCCGTTTCGTATGTTTGTAAAGTCCCCCGCGACACAGGATATATTCCTAATGCGGGAGACGCCTTTTAAAAAAAAAAGAAAGAACTATAATGTAATGACCCCCCACTTCGGGGAGCCCTAGGAATTAGGTGGAAAATTAAAGAATTAATGATAGGAATATGGTATTGATTATAGTCTCTCTAATAGTATTCTGATTCCAGCAGACTGGGCGACGTACGTATCAACACAGCTGATGGTGTGGGAGACACTCCACCAGCTTTGGCTCACCAAGTACGCGGGGCCCGTGCATATCGTGTTCTATGAAGTGTTGGTACGGAACACTAAGGACTCGTTACAAGGCATGTTGGACTTCTTGAATCAAACGGTTACCGAGGTAAGTAATTATAACAATATATTTGAGATCATAAAATATTGTAAAGTAACAGGTTAATAAGCAAACTTGAAGTAAAAGGAACTTGTTAAGTAACCATGAAGATCGTTTTTATTAAAAGAAAAAAATATAATAAAAAGTATAATATTATGTAGCAATAGTTACATACATCTATTAACTGAAATCAAGTTACCTTGGTCTTGTTATGTTTGAAATCGACTAAAATAGCAAGGAATGCGGGTTCGATCCCCTATCGGCTCCGACTCCAATCATCATGTATATACATCACAGGCACGCAACTTTTTCCACTTCGAGGTACTGTAGACCCAGTCTCTGGTAGGCCGTTTACCCTTTTCCAAGCTCTCTCTCTCTCTCTCTCTCTCTATCCGTTTTCACACCCCAAATCTACCTTCCCGCCTTATCCCGTCTGTAAACGGTTACCTTTTCAGAGTAAGCGGTAGGCATGTGGCCCGCCGCTCTCTATGTTACACAAATCGACCCCAAATTGAATTCGGAAGAAAACAGCAAACGGGGATGATTGTTTGTCCGTATTCTGGACTAGTGATGTGCCGGATCGTTAACAAAGTATATCCGCGGATACGGATCCGAATACGGATATTTGGTGTCAAGATCCGCGGATACGGATACGGATACGGATCTTAAGTTTCTTACTCAATCGGAGCCGTGACCTTGATAGTTGTCGCCACTTGACGCTTTGCCGTTTATATTTAAATATTTCATTATTTTAATAAGCTAATACAAACATGTTTGATTGATCTCATTATAAAGATAGCTCTTACAGTACCTACGACCTGCCTAGTTGATTAAGTATAGTACGATAAATGATTGCAATACAAAGGTGCCAAATATTTGTTTTAAGAAATAAAAAGTAATCTGAACAGAATTCAATAGTTTTTCATAGCTACCTAATAACCATTATTCAGGGTTATTTTAAAAATACTGAAAACCTCTGAAGTGCATATTAGTAACATTATAAACAACAACTATTCTTCTGGACTAACACCGAAAACGAAAGAAAAAAAATTGTTTCTCCATACAAACTAACAACATTTGATTGGTCATTTGAATGGAGGACCAATTTTTTTTTATTTTGACGTTGGCCAGAAAAAAAGTAGCTGTTTATAGTGTTACAAACACATACCTAAGAGTTTTACAGTGAATACAAAATCACCTATATAGAATTTAATCTATGTAGTATGTATTGAAAGATCCGCCAAAAAAGTCACGGATACGGATACGGTTACGGATCTCTCTTCTCCCTTGGATATCCGCGGATACGGATACGGATATCCGGCACATCACTATTCTGGACCCACATCTTATCATTATCTGGTTTTGACGTACACACGGCAAACGAAGTATTTGGTCAGGTTTACATGTGTGTAAGTAAGTACTCATGTGTGCGAATTGTAAATAACTCGATTCTTTGCACATACTTTTGCAAATTATTATTGCTTCAAAACCTATCTATTTTATTAGTTTTAATTTCTCTAGTAATATCAGGTACTTCGTACTACTGACCAGGTATTTCGTATGCCGTGTGTACATACCGTTATAGACAATAAAATACATAAAAAATATTGCTCCAGGCGGATATGAACTGCGCTATAGCGAACAAAGAAGGTATTTATCGTCGGAAGAAGAAACATCAGGATTTTGATCCATTCAGTACAGAGATGTACAAGGCATTAGACCAGGTCAGAAATAAAGTTCTAGGTATGGTCAGGGACTATAAGAAGAAACACAGCCACGGCGGTCCTTTGACAAAATTAGAAATGAATAAAATTGTGTAAAATGTTGTTATATTATTGTTGTTTATTTGTCACATTAGTAGATGATTTTGCGAATATCTGTTATGTCAAATAGTGATGACGTCAGCAGGTTGTTTTGTGTAGAATTTTATAAACCATAGACAATTATGCGTAGTTAGGGAATAGATTGACTAGTGCGAAGTTTTATGTATTCATTTCATTCGTTCTATTTTCCAGAGGGTATTAGATGTAGATCTGGCACAAGATGGCTCCGTTTTAGTTCCGTGTAAAATATCGTACATTATTATACAGACTTGTGCTAGATGCTCATGATTTTATGCATTTGTTGGAAAATGAATCTAACAATATTTTACAAAAAATTGTAAAAAAATTTGAAGTTTATTTCGTAGGGGCTTTGAGCAGTTTTTTACTTCAGATTGAGGTGTACGATGGACATAAACTAAGTACGAGTAATGATTTGTTATAAATATGGTTGTAAATCTAAATGTTTATAGGTAAAAACTAAATAGAAAAAAATAACATACTATTGTGGTATTAAACTTAACTCAAACTTAACTTATTAACACAATCTCATATGCTGTTAATACTTTATTTTCATTTCTATAGAACGTCGTTTTAAAAGGTCAGGTCAAGTGTAAGTCATAATACTTAGTCATAAAAATTGAATAGATAATTGTTGCCGGTAATAAATAAAGGCCGACAATAATTATGAATAGCTGGACAAAAACATAAGCTTTGTTTTATTAAAATAAAGGTCAAGGTCATGGCGAAAAAAAAATCGGCTTTGATCTTACGATAGGCTTTTTACCTGGTTTCGAATAAAAGCTTTTTTTGTGCCCTAAAATCTATGTAAATATATATTATATTTTTTTATTCAGTTGACCTTTAAGAGTAACTTTTTTTGACTGTTTTAAACGGTTTAATGAATAAGTACTTAACTATCATTTTTTCAGTTTTTATGAGATTACGTACAAATATAGGTAACTAAGTTTTAGTAGTTACAGTAAAGTTCGTATGGCCTCAGTTAACTACACTTGAGTTAACTTCTACTCTCATGTTATACAATACATCAAAAATAATAACTGCTAAATTAAAACTTATTTTTTCTTTTTCATTGAGAATTATGATCATAGAGATAAATACAATTTTCTATTGAGAAATTATTGTTCCTCTGTTAATACTAGGTTTAGGTCGGCCTAGTTAAGAAGTAAAACACATACAATAATTCCGCCTTCCCTAAGAGCTTGTTTGTAACTCCCTCATCCGCATGAGACCTATTGATGTGGTTCTGTTGTCCCTCAGTCTCGTTAGCTCGTTGCTTGCTCATTGACCTCACGACCGCTTTCGTAATCAGCAATAGCGGGACTCCGGGGCTTTTTATGGCTTCAACTAATTAGAATATTTAACTTACTGTTACCAAGTTGGTTAGTTTATTTCTTACTTTCCTTCATCGGCAGTGATATTATTTGTTATGCTCCTATAGTCGCCTCTTAAGACAGCCTCGGTAAGGAAACGGGTTACTGATTCTTAAGCAGTCACCAAATATTTTAGACGGTGATCATGTATATTGTATGTTTGATATACATCTGTAATATTAAGCATAAATTAAATTTTAAGTAATATTTTTCGCTCAACATTTCCATGAAACGATTCAGTATTTACTTTGTATACTCAGTACGTACGCGCGTATAATTTTTCTAATTCTCTAAGTCTTATTTAACTATAATAATCATTGTTCCTAGTTTAAGGCCTAATATTGTTTAGAAATATTGATGAATACTGGTGTCTTGGGTTGGCCAATTGAAACGCAGACGCTCCAAGCATTCAGTTGTATTATAATTAGCGTAACTTACAATATTCGAAATGTATATAATATTTAGCACATAATGTAAGACGTGTATACATAGGCAAAATAAGTCGTCGAATGTCGGCGCGTAGAGGTGAAGGTGGGGCGATCGCATAACCAGCGAGTAACCGGTTTAAACTCCTTCCGCCGCACCACCATTAAGACACGGCGTGAACATCCTGGGGGCCCTTGAAGACGGAAGTCTTCAACGATTCTGTAGGCTCGTCCAATAAGGGGCAGAGGTATTTCACACCTCGTCGATAGGTGCCAGTGGTAGTAGTAACGTCAGCCACGCGTGAAATCCCGTCTGGTCCGGGAAAAAGTCTTGAAATTCGGCCGAGATGCCAATGCAGAGGGGGCGCGTTGTCCTCCTTAAGAAGCACCAATTCACCCAGCTGAATAGGGCGGTCTGGTTTGCGCCACTTGGTTCGCTGTTGGAGCTCGGCTACGTATTCCAGCTGCCAGCGCTTCCAAAAATGTTGACGTATAGCTTCAAGTCTCTGATAGCGATCCAGTCTGGCCTCGTTAAGGCCTTCCATGGAAGGCGATGGCATGGAAGTCAAGGCACGGCCGATGAGAAAGTGACCTGGAGTTAAGGGTTGGAAATCGTTTGGGGATGAAGAAATAGGACACAAAGGACGACTGTTAAGGATGGCTTCTATTTGATTGAATAAGGTAGCCAATTCCTCGTAAGTTAGGTGACAGTTGCCTAAAATTCTTTTTAAGTGATACTTCGCGGACTTAACCCCTGACTCGAATAACCCCCCGAAATGGGGAGCGTAGGCTGGTTGAAACTTAAATTTTATCCCTTCCTCTGACGCGAAGGAGGAGATAGAAGTAGAATTTTCGTTTAAAAAGTTACCAATCTCTTTGGCGGCTGCGACAAAATTCCTACCATTATCGCAGAGAATCTCACGTGGCTTTCCGCGTCTAGATATAAAACGACGTAAAGATAATATAAAAGCTTCCTTTGATAGTTGACTTACGGCCTCTAAATGAATACACTTAAACCTAGTGCAAACAAAAATAGCTAAGTAACATTTGTTAATTTTGCAACCTCGTCCCTTCCTATCTGTAATTAAAAATGGTCCAGCAAAATCGACACCGACACTAACAAATGGAAAGTCGGGAGTTACGCGCTCAGAAGGCAACGCTCCCATGAGAGGAGTGAGGGTTCTAGCAGCGGCGCGCCGACACGTCACACACTGCCGAGCAACAGTGCGTGCGAGGTCGCGCCCGCCGACAGTCCACACGTACTCACGCGTGGAACTGAGAAGCAGCTGGGGACCAGCGTGAAAGAGACGCAGATGCTCCTGCTGAAAGAGTAGTCTCGTAAGTCTATGTTTAGCGTGCAAAAGCATAGGATGGCGCTTTTCAAAAGAATAATAGGATGAGTTGAGGCGGCCACCTACACGCAAAATGCCTTCACTATCTAAAAAGGGATTCAATGATATAAGGGAGTTCTTAGAACTCAATGGTTGTTTATTTACAAGAGTTTTTAATTCAACATGAAAGCTATTAGATTGCGACATTTTAACTAATCGCTTAAAAGAAGATTCGAGTTCCTCAGGCTGCAAAACTCCTATGAGCTTGTTATTTGTATTACGGCAGTTATGTAGGAACCTAAGTACATAAGCAAAAAACCGTTGAATAGTTTTAATTTTAGAATATTTATCGAAATTAATTAATGTATTATTGGTTTGAGTTTCATTTGTTAACATAACAGTTGTTTTCACTTCAGGAATATCATCAAAATTTAATTTATTAGTATATAATTGTGGCCAATTACATTCAGATTCATATAGAAAGGATGGTCCGTTCCACCACATGTATAATTTATCTAAGTTATGCGCGTCAACACCGCGAGATGCATAGTCCGCAGGGTTGCACGCGGAGGGCACGTGACGCCACACGGAGCCGTCAGTTAATTCCAAAATAGTTGCTACTCTGTTCGAAACAAATGTGTTTAACTTATTATGGCTAGTTTGTAACCACGCTAGTACTATTGAAGAGTCCGTCCAGTAGAAAATACGATTAATTTGGCAGCGCAATGTGCGCACAACGGCTGTCGTTAACTGAGCGCCGAGCACTGCAGCGCAGAGCTCTAATCGGGGAATCGTAGTGGGTGCCACCGGACTCACGCGCGCCTTGGCGCACAGGAGCCGGACTGCGACGTCACCGCGATGATTCATAGATTTTAGATAAACACAGGCCGCATAGGCGTTCTTACTACTGTCGCAAAAACAATGCATTTCTATATAGTTAGAGGAATCACATAACACGTGCCGAGGAATTTGTAGTGATTGTAATAAAAATAAACCGTTAACAAATTGTCTCCAAGATGCCTCAATAAAATCGGGCACGGGCTCATCCCAGTTAAGTTTGGCTAACCATAATTTTTGTATTAAAATTTTAGGCACTATAGTTAAACAACATAAAATACCCAAAGGGTCAAATATTTTGCATGAGTCCGATAAAATAGATCTTTTGGTAGGGGAAACGTTTTTTGTGTTGTATTGAGTGGGGAAATGTATGACGTCAGCAGCAGACTCCCAGCCTACTCCCAGAGTATGTGAATAGGTACTTAGTATAAGACTACCTTGAGGATTAAGACTTTGACAAGAATTTAAAATTAATTTTGAGTTGGAACGAAACTTACGTAGAGGAAAACAACCGGCTGCCAAAGCCTGCTCGATTGAAATTTTTATTTTTAATAATTCATCCTCCGAGTCCGCCCCTGTCAATAAATCGTCAACTAGAAAATCGCTTTGAATAATATTTTTAATGTGTGTGTCGTCACATTCTTCTCCCAGCTGCCACAAGCAACGTGTACTTAAAAAGCTGGCGCTAGAATATCCGTACGTAACTGTGTTGAGTCTTAATGTTTTTAACCTTTCATTCTCATTATTTCGCCAGAGTATCATTTGTAAATCACGGTCACAATCTTGAACCAAAATCTGACGATACATTTTTTCAACGTCACCTGTCATTACATATTTATATGTTCTGAATCTAAGCAAGATATTAAAAAGTGAGTCTTGTATACACGGCCCGACCATCTGTAGATCATTGATTGAGTACCCCGATGTTGTGGCGGCACTGCCGTTAAATACAACTCGAGTTTTAGTTGACTCGCTAGATGGTTTGAGTACAGGATGATGGGGTACAAAAAATG